CAGTCCCGCACAAATTACACAGTTTACCTTCCTCGAGAGTGAATTCATAAATCAATAGATCCGTACCTGACAGGGCGTCAATCTGCCGTTCCGGAAATGAGCAGAGAGTGGTACACGATACTCATTCCATGGAAGCGATCTAGTTGTGCATTCATATGCACTTTGCACTACACACATTGCCTAATTGTATACCTATCTAGGTATCATACAATACGCGTCCTTTATTAATTGTCGCCAAAAATATCTAAGCATTCCACGTTATCGGGTAAGTACCCGAGATACATAATATCTTGGTGGGTGAAAATCAGTCGGAGCAATATGCTCTGTCGACAATATTTTCGACGTCTCGACCGACGGGCATATACATACTAACATTTACGGACCGCCAAGAAAAGAAGATTGTTCAGATTACTTTATTTGCCTATGTAGATCGATCCCGCAGCTTATGGGAATTGATCTTCCCCACAACATCTCAGCCGTACTACTCAGCGACCTCTATGTAGCATTCGGGTCTCACTTCCGTTTAACAGCCGCACTGATTTGGAGAGTAGATAAAAAAATCATGTCCCGAACGTCAGTGCCGGTAAATACTTCGTAAGTTTTTATTATGGCAAAACAACAAACCATGTCATCGGTCAAGTTTTTATGTGGCTTGAAGATGAAGGGATAGGGGACTGCATACCGTGCTTGGGCCTCTAAGTGTCCCTTTCGTTTCCCCGCGGTGAAGGCACTAAGGACGTGTGTATCCACCTAGAGGTGCATATCGGCACATTCAACGGTCGCCGGGAGTCGTTCCGTAACGTCGCGTTACTTACTTGTGGCGCGATTATGTGTAAAATAGTTCGTCCCGGCCTCAATTCTGACCTCCTCGTTCGATTTCGAGGGCAGGGTGAATCTCCACTGTCTCACATATTTAGCTGTGTTTTATCATCGTCGAGCCTAGCAGTCTAAGGTAATGTTCGCTCGGGATCGACGCGACTCGTCCGGGTTATCATGCTTTCACCGCTTCGCTGCACGAACAGTCTTCGACCGTGCTCTTGTAACCCTTCTTACAGGGAGTTTGCATGCTGTGCGACAGGCTCAACTCTCTACAAGGTCAACAAATCGATAATCGTCGACGTGGCATAGGCCACATTGACGTCTTGCATCGGACTAGTCTCTACATGAAACAGAGGCTCTCCCAATAACAGATCGGATTGTCCTAGATGACTAAAGCTACAGCGCTATCTGATGAGGCCCATGCAGCGAGGCTGCGCTAACATCGCCAGATAAATATCCCGACTGGTTCGCTGGAGAAATCCTAAAGAAACCCACAGTATACTATCGATATCATCTGATAGGTATTGTGGTTCGCGTCTGAGCTCCTTCGACCAATGCAATCGACGTATATAAGAGCATATGGCCATGACTGCATATTATACTCGAGGAAGATTCCTTAATAGAATCCCTCAGCTCGAGTTGTAGTGCTTTAGTGCCTATAACAACCCTATAATCGACCGGCGCTATATCGGGCTTTGACACCTTCGGTGGATGCTAGCCACATTATCACGTCGGTCACTACCCAGGTAATACTTATAGCCTTGATGTGCAGTATGTCCGGCTCATTATCGCGTTCGAAAGGGGTTCGTGTGGCTTACCTGACGGACTCGTTGGGTCGGAGTCAGCTGTGTTCCTATCGTTCCCTTAGCCACTTTCGAATGTCTGCTTCGCTATTATCTTATGCGCCAGCCGAATTCTATGTCTGTTTTGCATGCCAAGCTTTACAATGCAACATACCCTCCACACTTACCTCTGTGCTAAATTCCTAACGGGACATTGGCTCATCCGTACCGGGTTCAAGGTCACATCATCGGCCGAGCGTGCTGTAGTAATGCGACTTCCGTCCGTTACTGTTTTCCCTTTTGAGCGCGGCTTCGTCAGCCGCCCATCGTGGTTGGTGGTCGGATATCCCTATGTCCGCATACTGACGATTTGGTGATGTATTGTCCTCGGGCAACGCCGTGCCTATCGAGTAACGCAATTGGTGTAAATGAGGCACATCGACCCCCAACGACTTTCGCATATTCCCGGTTCCTCTTTGACTTATTGACGACTCAGGGCGTAAGGCCATGTGGCTAAAATTTCCTACGGGCCAGCATGTCATAGGGCACGACAATAGGAAAATCGACGAGATCTACAGATCTACCTCGTGTCGATAACCGGACGGGGGCATGTTCTGTAGATCTGCAAAAATATTTCCTCGAGGGAACTCCTCGTTTTTTAATTCAATTCGCCTCGCCCGCTGTATAGCGCATAGCTGTCAAGGCTGTATAGCTATTCTAAGAAGAAGCATTTTTCGGGATATCCAATGACGGCGCCAACTCCGACTTCTGCATGAAAGTAGAACCCGCTTTAAGGAAACTTGGCAGCACGTTGCGCCCCTCCCTGTCAGATTCTTTCGGGGCCCCAGTCCTATATTACAATTACTCGGTAACTTCCATTACGAGAAGTACGAGATGTCATCAAAGTTATCAAGGTTATCGAACTTCCAAGGTTCGTCCAAGGTTCGATGTCTAAAGATAGTTAAGCTACCCGCCCGGCCGAGAAGCCCTGTTCGGAGGGTTGCACCGGCGCGAACCCCGGAAAGGAGTTCTCTCTGATTTTTGACGATGCGCCGTCCCTGGAAGGACCTCTAGAACCTCCAAAGGAGACGGAACCGACCTTGGCCCCAACTGGCCCCACGGATGCGAAGGACGGACTATCGATTTTACGTCGCATTCCATACACCCCCATGTAGTAAATCCCTCTACAGGCCCCAGGGTTAGCTTGGTGTAGAAGCGTGCTGCTAGGTATGTGAAGGAGAACACTGTGCCGTCAAGCCGCCTCCTGTACCTGGCCTTTATAAGCGTTGCTTATAGGGCCATCAAGCGCTAACGCTTAACCGGTTACAGAGGATCGCAGCTAAACAACTACATTATTCTACCCCTATCCCCTAAACGTTACCCACGGCCGAGTCGTTTGGCGGTTCTCCGGCGGCTATCTGGCAGTCTAGAATCCCAATTCTTTGCTGCACCCGATAGCGAGGAAATCCCCAGTTTTGATCGTAGGAATCCCTAACTTTGATCAGTGATCACCCATCTCATCCATACAATAGCAGTAGAAGCATCGAAGCCTAAGGGGAATTCCTTTCGGGCCTACCCGACTTTCCTCCCGATCGCTCTCATCCTTGAGTCGATTATCCACTCCACCGCCGCCCCCTTTCAAGCCATCCCACGTGCTTGGGACGGATGTTTTGCTTACCTCGAACAATAACTGCGATGTTAGTGTTCGTTTTGATGCTCGAATTGTTTTGAGCAGTTTATGGGAAACCCCTTCACGGCCACGCGGTTCCGAACCGACCCTCAGGGTCAAGGGTGCGACAAATTCAAGCATAACCATGACCACGGGATGGGGCTAGGACCCCTTAACGCCCATGATATGATACCTCGTCGCGTCGCGTAGCTTAGGCGCGCTCGAGGACTTTTTTTTTCCTTGAACGTCGTGTCGTCGTCAAAAGAAGGGAAAAAAAAAACAATAAAAGGGCCTAACCGGGCGACGACTCGCCAATGCATGAGACCTCGTGTTCAACGGTATGTTGGGCCCTTATTCCGTCATCCCGCTGTACCAAACAAAACTGTTCCTGCGCACGGGAATCCCTCCTCATGCGCGCTTGCATCATCCCGTAGGGCGCCGGGGCGTCTAAAGAGCACTGCCACACCGACCACGACAACGGCTCTGCCGATCATTGCCATTTGGGCGGTATGGGGGCCGGGCATATTTGCCGGAACTGTCGCTAGGGGCCTTAACAGACTACCATTATAGGGATTTATTGATTTTTCTCCTTTCTTTCTGGAAGCTCTCCAACGTCTTTTTCTCCGCGACCCCGGCCAGGACCCAAGAATGGCAGAAATGGTCTTCTTTGCGGATTCTTGCTCACACGTGCGTTTCTCACTGCACCGCTTGGGGGTAGCAAGGGAAGCTAGCTGGGCCCTGCATGATCGTACGATGTAACCGTAGATTTGCCAGGTCCCAAGATACTGTTTAGTTCTCTGCTCTCACTCGAGGAAACCCTGTTATAGTATACCATTATCTCGAAAGATCGACACAACTGAATGCTATTCCCAGCCTTGCCAGCCGCTCGGTAGTCCAACACGAGATATCACGCCGTCGTCGACTATGTTGTCGACTGGCATTTTGCCTTGTTTGCGCCGCATACACAATATAGCTTACTGGCTTGCCGGTTCGTATGCAGATAATGAGATTCGGCCCTTGTAAGACTGTTAGCTTGGGATTAAGTGAGGTCGTAGTCGTCAGCGACGCATTGTACTTCTACGCTTGTACCGATACAGACGCCTACAAACTTGGACTGCAACTTGGACCCGGCTTATAGGAACCGCCATGGGTACCATGGGTGTGATCTTACTACGCATACTCCTAGCCATGGTGATAGCATCGTCGACCTCGTCAGGGGGTCGATCTATTAGATGACAAGGCGCTTAGAAATCCACGTTCCTGAAGATCTCATGGGAAGTTCCTTCGAGAAAACTTGGAATTAGATCAATAGATGACATGACAATATTGATTACACTCTCGTGTTCAACGTGCAGGAACACCACGAGTCTACTGAGAGCGAATGGATGATATTTTCATCCCATCTTTGACTCGGAGGCAACGGGGTCACTGCCGAAACCTGTCGGCTCTGCGTACGAATGCCGTCGCTTAGGTGCCGTCGCTTAAGAAAAGGGGTAGTGGATGCCCAGAGGCAGGCACAGGCAAGACAAGCAGGCTGCAAAGTCCTAGGGCGAATGCGTGGCCATCGTGACCCCATCACCTATCCCTTTCAGGACAGAACGTGCACCAACTTTACCCCGAGCGCGGGATAGAATCAAGTTGGCAAGACCCAAACTCGTGAACAGATTCCCCATTCGGACCTGCTCGGTGACAACACGGCAACTAGGTGGTATCATATGGATGTGAAGGTAGTAGTCGTTAGCAGTAGTTTAGAAGTAGTATGTATGTGAATATACAGTGCTTAAGCGCTAGGAGTTATAACCCGTTCGTCAAAATAGGCGAGGCCTTGATGAGGCATAGCATCGCGGTATCAATACAGAGGACTAGACCCAATCCATAGAGTAAATCCGGTTCTGCTATAGCATCACGAACACGCCATTGCCGACTGCCTCCAAACTAGTTCCGGCAGTCCCAGTAGTCTTCTAGATCCGACGCCGGTAGATAGACAAACAAGAAACAGGAAACAAGAAACGAGAAACAAGTGATGTTTGTACATAGGTAGGTAGATAGAAAAAAATAATGTAGTGAATGCGTGACTGCATGAGCGATGCGTGAAGCAACGTGTGATCATGAGGCATTTTACACAAGATCAACGGAACCATCTTCATCCTCATCGAGTAGTCCCAAGCCGCTGTCATACTTCCGCTTCTTCTTTCCCTTGCCCGACTTCGCCAGTGCGCCAGCGAGGTAGGAGCCAGAGCTCAGGGGACTGCCCTCAGGCGTCGTAGTTTCGCCCTCTCCTTCTTCCCCTTCACCGCTGCTTCCAGAATCAGCACTACCGCCGCCGACAGCGACACTCCTCCTTTTCAAACCACTCCGACCACTGTCCTTCGTAGGCGTAGCCAAGAACTCTGCACTCATCCTCAACACCCTCTCGAGCTCTACCTTCATCGAATCAACCGCCGCCGTAGCCCTATTCCTCTCCTCATCCACGCGCCTGCTCAACCCCAAGTTCTCGACCCTAAGCCGCTGCACCATCGAGTGCGCCTCATGCAGACTGCGACTCACATCCTCGATGCTCCTCCTCAGCTCCAACACCCTCGCATCCCTAACCGCGAGCGCCGTGCCGTGATACTTATTCAGCGCCCTCATCTCGCACGCCTTGCGCTTCTGCAGATCCGCCAGCTGCGCCTTGAAAGCCTCGGCCTGCTCCCGCACCGCCGACAACTTAGCCTCGAGCTTCGCGGCCCCGGCTCTCGTACACTCGACCTCGGCCTGCGCGCCCGCCAGCTCGGCGCTCAACCGCGTCGACTCCGTCCTGCTCTCGTCCTCCATCCGCTGCACGAGGCCCTCGAGCTCCGCCACATCTCTCCGGTACCCCTCAGCCGCGCCCTTGAGGCGCTCGACGCCGACCTCCAGGTCCGCAATCCTTGCATCCCGCTCGGAGAGCGCGGCCCGGTCCTCCTCGCGCTGGCGCCGCATGTGGTCCATCGCGTCGACGCGCGCGCCGAGCTGTTGCCTGAGCGACAGCTCGAGGGCGTGGTACTCATCGATGGCGTCCTCGTCCTCCTTGACCTGGCGCGCGAGGTCGCGCAGGCGGACCAGCACGAGGTCGAGGACCTGGGCGCCGCGCGACGACAGCGGAAGCGTCAGCTCGCCCGGCGTCAGGTACTCGAGCTCGAGGCGCGCGGAGCGGAAGGCGCTCGTCAGCGACGTGATGATCTCGCTTGCGTCGCTGCCCGGGAAGCCGAGGCCGCTGAGCGACGTGTTGAGGTCGAGCAGTGCGGCGGTCCGGTCTGATAGCGATTGCAGGACCGTGTCGAGGTGGGCTTCTACGTCCATCGTTGTTGGCTTCTCTTCTGACTCTGTCGGGGTGCGGACCGCGCTGAGCTTGTCTGTGATGCGGGACTTGAAGGCTTCGTGGGTCTCGAGGACTTCAGTTAACTTGGTTAACTCGAGACGCAGAGACCCTAGCTCGGCTTCGAGCGCTTCTTTCTCTTCTGGGTCCGGGAAGGTGAATGATGTTTGCACGCCCATGTCGGCTTGCATCCCAACCCCGGCGTGAGATTGAGGCGTTACGGGAGCGCCTCTCCGCATGGAACACGGGGTCGTTGGGATCGTTGGGCTGGTGCAAGGCGGCGTGGGGAAAGACGCCGATGCGCGGTTCTTCGATGGTGTGCTGCACACCAGATCCGCCATCGTAGTGTCCCCGAAGCCGTCGTCGTCGTCCATATAGCTATCGGAGAATGGGTCCCTCGCAGCCATTGTCCAGTCGTAAGCCTGCGTCTGGTCGGGATCGGGGCCAGATCCAGACCCGGAGGATCTACTGCGCAGTTCGTTCCTAAGCGAATCGATCTCGTACTCCAGCTCCATGATACGACCAGTGTCTTGAGCTACGGTGGTGGAATTTTGCAGCCTCTCGATCTCATGGTCCTTCTCCGCGAGCTCGTGCTGCAGGCGCTCTAGCTCGGCCTTCTGGCCCTGCGTGCGCCGCCGCTTCTCCTGGGTGATAGTGTTCATCTCTTCGCTTAATCCGTTTCGACGGATGCGCCGCTTGACGCGATCGTCGAGGACCTGGCGTAGTGAGAGAAAGCGTATTTCGTTGCCGCTGTTTCCATTGCTATTATAGCTTAGTTCGTCCTCTTCACCTTCTGAGTTGGACCTCCGACTAGTTGGTGCCGAGTGTCGTCTTCGTTTTGGCGATGGAGCAACACCGAGGGTTGTGCGGCGGACCATGGGTGTTAGCCCGGTTGTCGAGGCCGCATTATGGTGTTCGATCTCTGGGCCCGGGTCTGAGAACCGGACTCGCTTCTTGGATCTGGGTTTAGTTGGGGTCCTTAAACTTGCTGTGGCCGTTTCCAACCGCGAAAGATCCGAAGGCGCTGCCTTTCCAACGCTGAGCCGCGGCGTGCGACGAAGCGCGATGGGAACATCTCGTTCGTCTCTCATTTCGTAGTCGTGATGGTTGTCGGCCTTGTAAAGGGACAACCTAACGCGATACTAATATCGGTTCCAGGTAGGTAAGCTTACAAAGTTCCTCAATTCGTCGAATGCAGTGGAATATGAGTAAGTCCAATAGGATGTTTTACCAGCACATAAAACCCTTTTAAAGGTCGCGTCTCGGTCAACCCCAGTGCTGTAAGTAAACAAGCATACCATCTATGTGGTTCACTTAGTGGGGATGATCCGCCCACCATATGCATTGTTTACATATTTCCTATCGTAGCACATAAGCATAACTCCAAAGTGCCCCGCGATCTGATATTTGGGAACCAATGAGAGCCAACGAGAGCCAATCATTCTTTGTTTTGCAGGGGCATCAGGGGCGTTTTTAGGCCACCCGTTCCCCATTTCTCCTATTCTCCAATTGTTTGAATCTTCCTATCTCTCTGACGGAATAATTCAAGACAATTCATTAAAATGGTCCATCGCATTAAGAAAACGCGAAGGAAGAGAGAAGAGTGTGATACACGACTATAATAGTGCCGGATGTTGCCTGGGCGATTATAATAATCAGAGACTTCAACCGTTTGTTCTGACACGAATACACCAACAGACTAAGTACTCGAGATGTGAGACACTCGTATAAGCAAACGATAATTATCATAAATGTTATAACTATTCGATGGAGCAAATATAGGTAGCTATTGTACGAGATGCTTAAGCATTTAAATATGCAAATGTAGGTATCCATATCAATTGTATGGTGTGCTTGGACCTCCAGCTCCCTCCGTGAGTCATAATAGAATAAGGATCAACATGAGCGCCCATGTCACCGCTAATGAAACAATGATCTTCAGCGAATATTTTACCTTTCAACGAAGCATCGGCCAACTCTGCCTAAGTCCAATAGGCAACAGCCTCTCATGAAAATGATGGTGTTGAGGTGTTGAACTCTCGGACGGCATCAGCTCGGGACAGGAGTTCGGATAGGATAGCCGAAGTGAAACCCGCTGTGACTCTTGACTAAGCTTATCCGATATATGCCGTACTGTGGCACCCGATCAGGGTGCGCATTTTTACATATGCATGTCTAGAAAGCCACAAGCTGGAAGATGCACGCTTCGAATGGCTGAAACGCACTATGACGTTGTCACATTCTGTGCCGCGGCTTGACATGTCCTCCCGAAAGGATCGGGAGTAAGCCTCGGATGCGGGGTTCCGGAGCCGATCGACGAGTAGAGGTCGGTCAACATGGCCATATTGATGATAGTTGAATGACATTGGACGATACTGGTGATGCCGTATTACTTCTAAGGTAGTAAGTGTACGTCTCTTTTAGAACGAGTATATCATGTTAAAGATTCTGGTCATCAGATCCCTCTAAACAACATGAGTGGTAGAAGGTTGGTTCAAGATATTGGTCGGCCGCTTGCACAGGTGGGATAGGAAACCAATCACCATGTCGGAACTCAAACATCGTAAGAGTTCGGGCGTTATAGATGTTGAACCTGAATCTGGTGTTGGCCAAAGAATGGGCAGACTCCATCTCTGCTGCTCGAAACATTGACTACGTGAGGTCAATGCGAAAATTATGTTCCACCAACATCTCTCTTGGAGCTATGGCCTTGATTTATGATCTTTAAATGTTCAGCGAATAGACACTTCAACAGGTTATTGGTAGGAGACTATCGAAGTGAGAAGAGGGAATAACCATGTGAATGACCGATGCCCTTTTGTCGGATTTTCTGGATTGCATACAGGTACTATTCTAATGTCATGTCGAGTTTACATAAAATATAGGTAGGTACCTAGTCTCCTAACCAGTGGTTGTTAAGAAGAGTTTTGTGGTAATACGAGGCTTATATTCCTTTTATAAGACAGTCGTTATACCAAGTAACCTATAAAGGGGTTACAAGAAGAGTGAATACTGCACAGTTTGTGTGACAGTTAAGATGTTCAAGCATTTGGAAACTTTAGAATGTTGATAGGTAACAACTGAGCTGTTAGCCATGGAATCTTGCGCTAAGTTAGGTAGGTAACTATTTGGATACTTGGTTGGTTCTTGGTGAGTAATATTAACTTGCGGTTACATACTATTCACCACTTCCTTCATAAGGAACATCCCATCATGAGATTATGTCATACCTAGCACATGAACTATGAATCTTGTTGACTTCAGAAAAACCAAGATTTTGAAGTAATACGGTGGTTTCGAAATCAACATTGCATTATATCGTTTAATGTCTTGAGACTAATGTCATTCGACTCCCTATAGAACATCCCATTCACTCGGCAAGTGGATCTGTCATATAAATCCTGGCTAACGAAACTTTGGGTCTAGCCGAGGTCGGGATCCGTTCTCTTATAATCAATAAATTTCTGATTATTATTTCGGGACATCCAACCCTAGCGTTCTTTCGTTTCGGGAGCGAAGAATGATACTTTGACAAAGGGAAAAAAACGGCAATAGACCTACCTCCAGGCGTAAGAGACAACCTTAGGTAGTATATCGTTCCTCATCGCAGGCCCCGAGCAGTCCCCACTATTTTCGGTTCCGTAGAGCTTCCCGTCGACCTTCCCTTTGAAGCGTTAGCGTGTACCGAGATAAGATGGCATTACGTGTATAGCTTTTTCAATAGCTTTCAAGCTTGTAACCAAGGTTGAATTCTGCAAAAAGCCCTTAAATGAACAGAATTTGTGACGCTTACTTACAAAGAACATTTGCAAGAGAGCTGAAAGAAACATAATCGAAAATATATTTTCCTGACAAACGAAAACTTAATAAGGGCGGAGATAGGTCTTACCCCCCTCGGCTGCTCGCGCTTTTCGGCTACAGCTCGCGGCCTGCTTTCGCGAGGGTTCCTATGTAGCATCGGGATTTTTGCAGGGGGTCGTGAAAATATGGATAGAATGGGAATTCTCCCGCACGAGATCTGCCGCCCAATCTGACGGGGCTACATACTATGGATGCATGGGTCGTAAAGGACGGGCCTATAGCGTAGCTGGGAACCAATGAGGTGATATGACTTTTTGGTTTTGTAGTAATAATTTTGATAACTTTCTCACTTCTCCAAATGCACAGTCTGCAAGGGGTAGCTACCCCCGTTACCGTCGCAGCTTACCGTCTATCCAAGACCCTTCTTTGCTTCCGATGGTTATTAATCAAGACCGCCGGTGTGTAGGTACCTCAGCTTAGGCAAAATTGGCCGCCCAATTACCTAGGATGACTTTAGTGCTACGGTGATAGGACTTTATGGCTATTATTTGTAAATTATTTTTCTATTGCTCCGTGCTGACTCGCTGTGACTCAACGCATCCCTATGAGAACTTCCTCTTGCTTTAAAACTTGCTTCTAGACAGGTAGCTCCAAGCTTTCCCTGAGAATTATTATTACAAGTCTTGTACTGTTGCAAATTAGTTTGTCTGCGATCTGAGATTTCCTAGGTAATTGGGTTCATTCTAGCTTCCGCCTTATAGTCGAATACGTGAGAGCCGTTAAAAAGTCTCGTGAGCCGTCCCGCGCGGCCACCGGTTTGTCGCGGGTAAACAACACCCAGAAACGGAAATAATGGACCCGGAGACGGAGCTTGGCGAAGACAAGGGAGAATCCGGACGGGTAGCGGCCCGCGACATGACCTCGCGCGAGGACTCTCTTGAGCGGGAGAAGAGTCACAGCCGACGCAGTGGTCAAAGCCGCGCGTCAATCACCTCCGACAATAGCGATCCATTGTCGCCTTTAGAATTGGCGCTCTCACCAGGCGAGGAAACATTCGAAGAGATCGCTCGCATACAAACCACCACCAGTATTGGGAGTTCGGCGTCGCGCCCGCCGGACTTTGAGGTCGTGTTCGACGACAACGACCCGGAGAATCCACGGAATTGGCCGTCGTGGTACCGGGGTTTGATCGTGTTCTCGATATCATTTACTTCCTGGGTCGTCGTATTCTATAGCACGAGCTATAGCGCTGCTATCCCTGGTTTGGTGGATGAGTTTGGCGTCTCTTCGACTATCGCGACTCTTGGTATTACAACTTACCTACTTGGCCTCGCGGTGGGCAGTCTGCTCGTCGCACCGGTGAGCGAGCTGTATGGTCGCCGACCCGTGTACATTTTCTGCATGATATGCTTCACGCTTCTTGTTATACCTTGTTGTGTGGCTACCTCATTGGCCGAAATTATAGTCGTCAGGTTCTTCGGGTATGTTGTTGAACGTCAACTAATCTATATATCCGCTGACGCGAGCTGCAGAGCACTATTTGGATCTTGCATGGTTATCAATAGCGCGGGCACAGTCGTCGATATATCAACTGAACAAACTCGGGTGAGTGCAAGAATCAGTCATGTGATCCCCTTGAGACTCAACGTCCTATTCTTAAGTAACATAGTGGCTAACAGTGAAACAGTATGTGAAACATTGTGACATATATGCGATCATGTCGCAAACAGCGTCCGGTATATATCAGAAATGAATGTTAGCTAACGTAAGCGCTTATCAGTGCTATGATCCTAAGCTTGTGGTCGATCGCGCCGTTGAATGGGCCTGTCACGTATGTAATATCATGAGTCCTTACCTCCATCAACAAGAAAATACTAACCCTCGTTATCCCAAAGCGGGCCGGTCATCGGCGGATTCGTATACCAGTACCTCGGTTGGCGATGGGACAATTGGCTCGTCCTAATTCTCGCAGGGGTCGGTACGGCCAGTATGACATTTCCCAAAGAAACCTATGCGCCGATGATCCTTAAATCGAAGACGGCACGCAGACGCAAGGAAACTGACGACGAGAGATGGTGGTGTCGCTACGACGTGAAGCTATCACCGGTCGCACTTTTGAAAGTCAGCCTGCTACGCCCGTTTGCGCTGTCTTTCACAGAGCCTATCCTTTGGTTCTTCAATGTTTGGTACGCCTCCTTGAGCTGTTGATTGATGGTATCTTCTGCTTACTCATACCAGGATATCACTCATATATGGAATCCTCTACTTGTGCTTCGTTGCTTATCCCATTGTATTTTCCGAGCATCGTGGTTGGAGCCCAGGTATCTCGGGCCTGGCCTTCGTCGGTATAGGCATTGGCACCATGATTGCGATTCTCGGCGAACCATTTTGGCGCAAGATCATTAACTCGCACCCGAAAGACCCCTTGACCGGCAGAGTACCCCCAGAAGCGACCGTGAGGGTGATGATCATCGGAAGTATTTTAGTGCCTGTAGGACAGTTGGTTTTCAGTTGGACATGTCTCCCCGGGACAATTCATTGGGCGATCCCTATCGCCTTCGGAATCCCTTTCGGGTGCGGGAACGCTCTTTGCTTTATATACGCCTCTAACTACTTAGCCGGTTCTTACGGCATCTATGCAGCTTCGGCTTTGGCAGGAAACGCTGTCATGCGTTCTGTTTTCGGCGCTACTCTCCCTCTTGCTGGACCTTCGATGTACGAAACTCTCACCCCGCAGTGGGCTGGCACGCTTCTCGGCTTGTTAGAGGTGGCGATGATCCCAATTCCTCTCATTTTCTACAGATATGGCGAGAAGATCCGCTCTAAGAGCCCCGTCATTCGCCAGATGAGGGAAGACCAAGAGAAGAACGAGCACCGGGCCGAGAAGGCACAGAGACGGAAAGCGAGACGCGAAGAAAATGCTGACATGACAGCGCTGGTGAAGGAAGATGATAATAAAAAAGGCACTGAAGACTTAGAGAAGGGCATCGCTGGATCAGGCGTTTTGGATGCGCCTCCCTTGGCAAAAGATGAGACAGCTGTGTGATGTAGCGTTATACATAATGCGATGTATGGTGTTCCACGTTCAGATCTTCAACGGTTGGCTTCACAAATGGTATAGATGGTTACTAAAGGTATGGGCTGGATATTTCAGGATGGGTGAATATATTCTTGGAATAATAAAATGGATTTGGGACCTGTGATTATTGACGAAAGATTGATAACTTGCCAAAATAGGGGTTTGTGGCTTGCTTGTTAAGGGGGTGGCAAGGAGGTGGCTTTGCTAATCAACTCAGCACAGGTTCCTCCCTTATCGCTTATCCTACCTATCTATCACATGACCCCTCCCTAGGTAGGGGTATCTACCTGCAGCCGACGGGTGTAACGTTGAGAGGATGAACCATCCATCTGCATCTCTCAACCCGTGCCAGCTTAAATCCTCCAAAAGTCGACGAGCGCGGGCGAGATTTGGAGATCGGCTCAATGTGACGGTTCTTATCTATCAGACCCCTGGTCTGTTTGCTTACACCGCTACATATCTACGCGGCCATGGATTGACTATAGATCAATGCAAGACAATAAGATAACGGAATTCCGCTGTGGCTTTGTGCATATTTTCTTGTAGATCTTCTATCTGGGTAATTGATCCATTCAACAGTCTGTATGACTTGTTCGAGGAGTAATTAATCAACACGATGTTGAAACGAACACCAACTGGAACATGGCTCCCGGCGTGGGTACCGGAGTCAACTTTGACACTCTCATTCTTGTTGTTGTTCTGTTCAACTGTTCAGTCATCTGTAAGCACAATTTCCAGCCGTAAATGCAATGGAGAGTTGTCGCTAATACACCCGCGAAAAGACTGGCGGGTATGACGGCTCTATGCTTAATGGGCTGAATATTCTGCCCAGTTATACGGACTATTTCCAATTGACACCAGCCACTACGGGGTTAAATACGGCTTCCGTCTTCATCGGTTCTACCTTAGGAACTCTCATTGCGGGCGTGTTGACTGATACGTGGGGGCGCCGTCCAACCATCTTTTGGGCGTCGGTCTTCACATTGGTCGGCGTTGCGCTTCAGACCGCCGCGCAGAACATCGCAATGTTTGTCGTTGCCCGCATCGTCCTCGGTTTTGGAAGCGCTCTCTCCGGTGTTTCCTCCGGTGTGTACTTATCCGAAGCGTTTCCTAGCCGATGGCGTACATGGGGTGTCGGATTATTGAATGATTTCTATTAGTCAGTGAGCCAATGCCAGTGGAAACTGCGAAGATTCAAGCTATTTTGAAGACTGACTGACTGGTTTTCTCTAGTGTTGGTGCCCTTATTGCCGCCGGAGTGACCCTTGGAACTGGACAATGGCAATCGACGGTAAGATCGGCAGGAACCGAAATAAGTCAACCTAAGAAGTTGTTATGGCTGACGAATGCTTAGTGGGCGTGGAGGGCACCATCCTTGATCCAGGGAATATTTTCCGTGCTTTGCATCGTCATTTTGCCTTTCGTGTATAACCCCTATAATAGAAGCTACTGCTAAATATAGTTCTAACTGGTAAACTAGACCTGAATCACCTAGGTGGCTAGTTCACGAGGGATACTTCGAATATGCGCGAACCTCGGTCGCTCAAACTAACACCAACGGCGACCCGCTAGACCCTGTCGCAATCGCCATATATAAGGAGATTCTTGACGCACTCGAGTGGGAGAAGAAAGAAGGCCGGACGATGAGTCCGAAAGAAATCTTTAAGACACCAACAGTGAGGAAGCGACTGCTCATCGGAATGTCGGCCGGACCTTTCTCCTGCATCGCCGGCAACATCATTGCTTCTTACTATCTTAATAATGAATTAACGATGGCGGGGATTTCCGATACAAATGATCAACTAAAAGCCGTTAGTGGTCCACTTTAGGAAGTAGTCGACGTAATGCTGACATTAAATAGAACGTCGTCTTGAACGTCTTCTGTCTTCTATGCAGTCTTATAGGATCGTACCTTTCTGGCAAGGCTGGCAGGAAACCCACAGCGATTATCTCTCAGACCCTCCTTATAATATTTCTATTTGTAATTGGAGGTCTAACAAAAGTCTATGGAGATAATCCTTCGGGTGCTTCTAAGAGTCTTGTCTACGGGAATGTGGCCGTCATCTTCCTCTTTCAGGGCGCATACTCGCTCGCCTGGACTCCTTTACTGTACTTGTATCCGCCGGAAGTATTCTCAGGTACGTCAAGATAATCCCTGACACCGACACAATTCGTAAATCTGAAACATATATACTAACAGTGTTATAGTTCGTCCTCCAAATTCTAGCTTTCTCTATAGGAGATATTCTGAATAGGTAGGAATTGCTAATCATATGAAACAGTATTCAATTCGAGCTAATGGTTTGGCTTTCTCATCCCTATCGCTAAATCTACTCGCGTATGTTCTATGGCTTCGAGATTACGAGGTGTTGGTTTAAATACTAACTAGAATTGCCAGATGCGTATTGGTGTATGTCATGCCCATCGGCTTGACTAACATCGGATGGAAAATGTATATGATCAACGGATCATGGGATATTATTGTTTTAGTACTTATCGTGAGTATCTGCAATCCTTAATAATTTTGTGCTGCTAACCTTGCCTCGAAGATCGTCTTTTGGATTGAGACGAAGGGACGCACATTAGAGGAAATAGATGCAATCTTCGACGGCGAAAAGCATTCTTCTGTCCCTGACGTAGAAATGGTAAGAACAGGGCAAGCCACGATAGACGTCGGCGCGATTGAGCAACAGCTTAAGTCTTGATATATGGATACCTATTGGTGCGTCCAAGGCACATAAAACGACAGAGGATGAAGCCTTCATGGGCTTCCTAACTCGATAATACTTATAGGGTTGGACGCGGAGGAAAGGCGACCCATGAAATCCTACACAATCTAGAACAAGAATCCAATGGCCAATTCCACACGCCTTGTGACCTAATATGGTAATATAAAATAGCTATTAAGAGGTTCAATATGTTTGCCAAGCCTTGGAATTGGAGAACCTACCGCATTAACGGGGCCTAATATAGCGAATGCGGAGAAATTACCCCGAGGAAAACAATTTATAAACATCGAGTGACGAGAATGATGTATACGTCGAGATGGTCAGACTCGTGTGGTGTATGCGTCCTAAGAATAAAAGATGTTCGGTTCGAAATTGTGGCTCTCAGCGGGCTTGCTGCTGCTGAATGCAGTCGTAGTACCGGGGAAATACATCGTACCCGGAGCTCGGTGGCGTGCAGCTGACGGGAGCCTGGTCAATGCTCACGCAGGCAGTGTCCTATTAGACAATGACACATTTTGGTGGTTTGGAGAGTATAAGACTCAGGAACAGCCAGAAGGCGGTGGCGTCTCCGTCTACAGTTCCCCGGATCTCGCTACATGGACATTCCATGGCCTTGCTCTAGGTAAGTATACTAATTGGAGAAAATAACTAGTAATAACTGGAGTCGAAGCGCTGACGAAGAGCGCAGAACCTGTTCAGGGGAATCCTTATATTTCCCCTCAGAACATTATCCAGCGGCCAAAAGTGGTGAAAAGCGAGTCGACAGGACAATATCATGTGCGTCATCCCTGATTGCAATTATCTACTCATTGAAATTAACATGGGCCCGTAGATGTGGTGGCATGCCGACAATTCTAGTTATGGACTCCTGCTCCAGGGCTTCGCAACGGCAGATACAATCGCTGGGCCTTACACCTTCGTAAACGCCACGGCTCCTCTGGGAAACTGGTCACAGGATTTCGGCCTGTTTACCGACTACAAGGACGGTCGATCATACGCTCTATATTCCAATGGCGATAGTGTCGAGGGGAGAGACGTATATATCTCTTCATATGATGAGCAGGTCACCGCACTTGACGCGGTCGTTCATCGCTTTGACAAGTATGACCTTGAAGCGCCAACTATCATCCAGACAGACCAAAGCTATTATGCTCTGATGAGCCATAAAACAGGTTATAGACCAAACAGTAAGGAAAATAATTCCCATTGAAATAATCGAAATATTTTATTAATTGTGGTTTTAAGACGTCGTTTGTTTCCGTGCTGACAGCTTGAGTGGGCCGTGGAGCCAACCTTGGATCGTCGCTCCGCTCAACACGAGAACTTTTAACTCCCAGTCTGGCTTCACGCTGAGAATAAATGGGCGCGAGAAGACGACTTACCTTTATCTAGGCGACCAGTGGGACTCTAATTCGATCTGGGAAAGTCGGTACATCTGGTTGCCAATGACAATCGATGACAACAAGAAAACGCTCGAGTTAGAGTGGCATGATGTCTATGACCTGGATGTGTAGGTGCTTCCCGGCCCCTTTTCGTTGCAGAAAAACGCTGATGGAGACTTTAATATAGAGAAACGGCAGAGTGGCATCCTGTTGAGGGCAGAGAATATTACGTGAAAGATGCGACGGTCAACGGGACTGCATTCAAGCAAGAAGCGGTATGTTCTGCTTTATCTGAAAATACGCATGGCGTCGCTAATAACACGTCTCGTAGAATTTCGCTAGCGGCGGCACTATATTAACGGGGATTGAGGGGAATGATAGTACTGTCACCTTCCATGGCATTGAGGGGACGGGCAAACCTCAATGGGTGTCTTTCTATTATCAGAGTGAGCAAACCCTTTAAACAATTTGAATAGCTGTGTTCTGACACCAAGCAAGATATTGATGACATGGGCTTCGGGGATCAACGTAAGTCTACCTAAGTAACCCCCGCTTCCTACCGACTATTCGACTGCTAATCAAGTGTCCCTGACAGCTGGTGGAAGCCCTGACCGAATTGGCGGATCGTGGCAACTCCGTCGTATCAGCAGTGTCGTCGTAAATGGAGATACGGAGAACGTGGAGACATTGTTCCAAAGAGATACGCACAAGGGCATCATCTTATCAGCGCCGCTTCAGCTGACGTTGGCGGAGGGATCGAACAATACTATCACAGTGGGCGGGCTGTATAATGGATTTTATTATAAGGGAGCGGATATTGAGAAAATCGTAGTCTATCCGCCAGAGGATTAGACCTCTGTGCTTTTTGAGCCATCAAGAGAAAAAAAAGAAGTTGCCCCTTACCCCTGAAAATGTGGACAGTCCGTAATTGCCTAAACCCCTTTTCCTCTCGGGTGCAACTGCAGTTCCAGCCTCGAAGTTGCCTACGTATTGTCGTACTGGCCACCCCTGAAGGTTTCTAGTCTGGTGTTTGAGTTGATAAGCTATCTACCTAGGTAGGTGCATAGGGAGGTATGATACGATAGAAGGAACGATCCAAAGTACTTACCGACTCAGATATCATGAGGACAAACCCTAAGTCCTTCTCGCCTATCCTTTTGGAATTACCCACTCGAACCTTTTCCTTCTTTTTTACTTTCCTTTTTCTTCACTCACCAGCATTTCACCTCTGCGCGCTACTCGTACAAACACACGCACATACACATATCGGACGGATAAAATTAAAATCTAAAGTAGGTGAGTGACAGCTATTATCACTTCAAATTGCTCTTGAATGCTGAATCAAATGATAAGGCAGAATGGAAGACGCAAGGCCTGAGCGCTACCGATGCCGGCGATGTAGCCGGACAGGATGGACAAGAGCTGCTAGAAGAAAGCGACGATGGGAGCCAACTTACTGCACAATCCAGGTGATAAACGACTGGGAGGTTCCGGACGGGGTGCATATCAGAATAGCCCCTGACAATGTCTTCTCTCCAGGGACCGTCCTACCAGCTGGTATGAATTTCCCGTGTGGACCTGCAATTACCTCGACATCGTACTGACACTCCTCGCAGGGACCATTGTGCCGGCGGGGACGATGATGCCAACCTGGGTCAGACCACGGGGGTTCATTGCAGTCTAGAGAGAAGAGAGGGATGGTTTGCAGCGCTGCCGATAGCTTGAATCTGCCTTGTTAGTGAAGAGGTGCTATCAGGGTATGAAACCGATTATAGCTGGCTTGTTCGAAGTGTCAAGTTTATGTGAATTTGAGATTTGACGCCATTCATGACCGATTCAATTCGTATTGTGATCCTAACTTGCATTAAGAAAGCCAAATGTGAACTGGGTAATCCCAAGCAGGTAGATCCTCGTAAGTTGTGCCCCACATTATATTTCTCATCGATGACATTCTATACCACCTCTATGCGTGTTTTGGCGGCCATAATGAGCATCATATATACTGGATCAAGGTTAGTATATATACTTCCCTAAAGTTAACCACGTAATTACGCATATTATCGGCGTTAACTCCATCGGAGATATAGATGCAGTCATCGGCCTTTACTACCTTATATGCATCTCCATCCACTATATAACCAACAGCAGATCCGCATACTCGAGAAGCTGCGTTGAGTGAGACTGTCTCCTTTTCATTTTCCCAAATCACTGCCCAAACCACACAAGACCAATCAGCCACCTATCCCACCAAACACCAAAATGTCGTCCCCGGTGTGGTTCATCACAGGCGCCTCCAACGGCTTCGGCCTGATCCTATGTCTCAAGGCCCTCAAAGCAGGCCACCGCGTCGTAGGCTCGGTCCGCAACAAGACCAAGTCCGCGGACGCGGTGAAGCAGATCGAGGCCGCGGGCGGCCAGGTCATCGAGCTCGACATGACCGAGTCCAAGGAGAGCATCGACAAGAAGATCAAAGCGGTCGGACAGATCGACTACCTGATCAACAACGCAGGCTTCTTCATCCTAGGTGCCGTTGAGCAAGCCACGTAAGTAATCACCCACATACCTACTGCTTGCCATCTTGCCTAGTTCCCATTTTCAACCCCTCATTCATAGACCTCTCCCCCTTTCCGCTTTAACCCCAGACCCCAAACTGCTGACGCCTATCTGTAGCGAGCAAGAAGCCCACCAACAACTCCAAACCAACTTCTTCGGCCCGCTCTTCGTGCTCCAAGCCGCGCTCCCCGGCATGCGCGCGCGACGCACCGGCACCATCGTCAACGTGAGCAGCATAGCATGCAAGGACCCGCAGCCCGTCTCCGGGATCTACGCAGCGAGCAAGGGGGCGCTGGAAGCCATGTCGGAATCGCTCGCGGCCGAGGTCGCGCCGTTCAACGTATCCGTCCTGATCGTCGAGCCGGGCGCCTTCCGGACGAACTTCCTCGCGGCCTTTTCGCCGCCGCGCGCTCCGCTGCCGGCGGGCTACGAGGACACGGCCGTCGACAAGATGCGCGCGCACTATTCAGGAAACCACGGTAAGCAGATCGGCGACCCGGTGAAGGGGGTCGACCGCATCTACGAGGCGGTGACGGGCGAGGGGATGGCCGGGAAGCTGAAGGGCAAGGTGCTGAGGTTGGTCATCGGGACGGACTCGTGGAATAGGATGAGGAGGAATAATGATAGGTTCCTGGGGGACTTGGCGATGCAGGAGGATGTTGCTCTGAGTACGGACTTCTGATGAGTGGAGGTTTAGGGGATAGGGGTTAGGAGATCGGGGATAGGAGGGGTTTAGAGTGGCCCGCATATAATCCGACATATACCACCTCAATGGGTAATTATATTGGGTAAAATACAATAAACGAGCAATGAGTCATGATAGTGTGTTGCCATGTTCAAAAGCCTCTTGAATGTATGACTTTACTAACTCCTGGTCAGCAATCCATGAACTTCCAAAGGAATGGTGATGGTGGGTAGTTAGCCATATCTCACCACGAACATTCGGATACCTTGGCATTTAAGGGAGATTTTACACGTGAAAGACACGTGCGGTACTATTATTAGCAGGTCCAGAACCCATATTATATCAAACGAAAGACCCCTAAATGGCCAAGCCCAATAATAATAAGAATGTCTTGATGGACAACTGCTAAGAGAAGACCTATCTATCATCTTCTACATGCCCCTAAAACGCCCCTTGAGAACTGGAAATCTGTGTCTACCCGTGAAACAAGCAAGAGGCAAACAATCAGCATCGAGTGAATGCGTAGAACTCCACGTACAGCTTCTCAAACCAAAGCAGTTATGCCTAATCCCCCATGCGCGGTATATGTATGTGCGTATATATGCGAGTGAATCCATTCAAATAAAACATCATGTATCGCAAAACCAATGATTGTGTGTGATGTGGTCGATGTGGGGTAGTGATGATGAGAGTTATGCCCAATCGGTGTTGCTAGACCTGGACAATGACGAATCGAGCGTAGACTTGCTGATCCCCGTTCTAAATGATGCCCTCTAAATTCCAATCACCCCTTTGTGCTCTGTCGAGTACCTGGCGGCCTTTTTCTGTAAGGTCCGGAGTACCTCGCTTGTCGGTGACTTGGTCGAAGAACACGGGTTTCCAGGTTTCGTTCTTTTGCTCGCGTTCTCTGGCCTTCTGTCGTTGTTTTTCTTCGAGCTCTATCTTGACGTTAGTGGCCTTTGAGAATTGCTTCGATAATATAGCCTGGGTGACACCATCCCACAGGGTCAAGGACTCGTTTTCTGCTTGCTTCTCCTTCGGCGGTATCGCCTTGGGAGCCACAGTAAGAGGATTAAGGTCAATTATAGTGATTTGCTTTTCTGGTGGGTGAGAATCCTAAAATAAATGGTCAATGATACGCCGGAGTAGACATGTGAGAGGTGAAGTTAACTTACGACTGGTTTCGGACCTAGAGTGAACACGACTCTATCTTTCCATGCACCACCGAGCCTTGCCACAACATCTGAATCAGGCACATCCTTGATGCGAATTTTGTCATCCTTCTCTGGGTCATACTTAAAAATCACCCCTTCAACCTTATTTTGAGCTCGGCCAAGCCAGCCATCCTCGATGTAATGTAGGATCGCTTTTAATTTCGTCTTGGGGCAGGTAACATAAGCAGTGTCGCCGACGCTGACGCTCAGAGCACCACGAAGAATTCCACCTAGATGTGCGGCAGGATGTTTCAGCTGGTACGTCTCGTTATCCCTTTTCTCAAGGGTGATGAAAATTCCGAGATTGTGCTCTCCCGGGGACACTTTAATAGCGGTACCAGTGAATTTAGCACTAATCTGGTCAAACCCCCTCGCGTGCAGCCCCTTTTCGGGACAGCTGACGTAGAAGGCACTGACGGGAGGGTGGTGAGATGTTTGTTCGGTTAAGTATGATATCCTAACGGTGGGGCCAGTAGGGGTTGCGGCTGTCTGTAAGACAGATACAGTCGATGCTCCTTTCGGGTCACCGCCGTTATTCTTACTCGACTTGACGGAGGACGAGCTACTGGCATTACCACTGCTAGAAGCCGACAAATTCTTGGTATCTATTCGCGGTGCATTGTCCTCAGCTTCCCAGTTACACCTGAAGAATTCTCCTAAGCACGAGTTATAGGGCTTGCACGGCTTCCCCTTGACATATTTTAGATCCTTGGTAAACCAGAAACGCAGGACCTCGAGCATACGATCTAGGGGTTCGTCTGAAGTGCCTATCGCGGCAAATGCGCTAGGATTGTCAAGATAATTCCAATATTCTAGGTTGGGAGTCGGTTCGAGGAGCTGGGATGGAAGAGAGAAACGGACGGCCGCGAGATCTGCGACACCTATGAATCTAAGGATCACGGAACGTTAGTGATTCTATTTGATACTATCATAGTCATGCTCAAGGAGAATGTCGTTGTTTGTTGAGGTAGACATCGTTTATGTTCTCGGGGTAACTCCGATTCCGGACGAAGATCGATGTTGGCGGTGAGATGCACGTCGCCTTCGTCTTCGAAGTTTGCCTACAAAAAGGAAGTGCTAGGCGACTGCTACATACTTTCGTAAAATGGAGATGAAGGTCTTCAGTTTTGATCCTTCATTCTGAGGGATATCTTCGTTGATATGGGCGCTTGGTGGAGGGTTTGTAGACATGATGACGACTCGGCAAGGGATGGCGATACGAAACTCGCAGGATTCCTACTCGAACAGGCGGGCGATACAATACAATAATCAGAGTATTAAATACGATACAATAGACCCCCAAAGGCGGCTGAGTTACCCCAGCCGCGATAACCAGCTCACGATTTGCGTCTAATGATTTTGGGATGAGATAGCAGGGTGACGATGATAATTGTTTGACGATTCCGTTGTCGTGTATCCTGTACCCTGATGTAGGTTGTAATAAGGCGGAATTTACTATGTTAAATAGAAGAATAGAGGGTCTCGAAGGTGGGTTAGGTTGTTTTTTTGGAAGTTTTGGTAGGTTCTTAGCAGGCCAAGGTTGCATTAATGAATGGGTGGGTGACGTTAGTGCGATCGATAAGGACGGACAGACACGGATAAGGGGTTTTTTAGTGCCGGTACCTTGCTACGTACCTGGATAACCCGGATAGATAGCATCTGACCACTGACCAGCGACGATCCAACTACGCTACCGAATCTTATATACTAGAAACATCAGAACCACCCGAACTCAGTATCTTCGTGTCATGTGTATGTATGTAGGTAGGTATATACTTGTCCAGACAACCAAGATAAGCTTTTATGCTAAGAGTACTTTACGTGCGTTACTGTTCCTGTTCCACAAGACGACATGGGCGTTCGAAGTCTTGTTCTTAGCGTTCCATCAATCTGGATATTGCGGAGTAGAACTCAAGTTTCAAGGTTATGAACCTGTTTTAGCCAATGCCATTACGAACTGGAATATTTCCTAGTATTGAACCTTGAAGTTAGTCCAGATTGTAGTATCTAAAGTTTGTACATATCCATCTATTAGAATGGCATGAGCCACGCTTATCAGACTATACACTTGCGTCGGTTGTCACTGACAGTAAGCGATTGCATCACGTTATAGACAGAGGAATGCGCTAACGTCTCATGCGGATTGATGTATGCTATAACATGAGAAGGCTTGTCTTGCATGGACCAATCATTTGACCACGAGTCCCGAATACTACAACTCAATTGCTACAAGTATCCATGTTATACGGCATGCCAAGTACTGTGCCTATGGTTCTACGTAAGCAAAGTACCTAGTTCAGTACAGTCCGGCACCTGATTCCGAGTAACAGTCCGAGTCGGTGATTGCTAACGGGATGTTTGGAGTATTACAATTATTCATCTATCATGTACTCCTGGGCTAGCTTGGGGCGTCTCATTAAGATGATGTCATCGAAACCATCACATCCATGGATTGAGCTGAAAATAGCCTAAGGCACATACTTTATTTGGTCTGTGCAATAGGAGTACCTACCTACCTGGTATCTATGTGTTTATATTCAACGTTTACCTAACTTTAGGTTCGAATGAGATTTGATATCTGAGGCAGGAACATTCTAGAATGATTTCTTTTGCCGGTTTCGCCGTAGAAAAGGAGGTGATGTCAATTGATTTGCATCTAATTGTGGTCCTGTGAAGGTTCCTCACATACAGGTATGCATGTTCTCAAGTGCGAGATGCAAGCCCGAACCAATCATAAGTCAAGTTAAATATAATACTCCAACCTTGATTCGTCACAATTTGGGACTATTTCACACCTGAACATATATAGGTCATGTCAATTTCTATAATGTCTTTAGTGTCTTATATACTCGGAATTGTCTCATCTATGAATGTGTAATGGTCCGTTAGCTCGTGGGAATAAGTTGTGTGTTTCATTACCTCGGTCAGCTGTAAACGTCTAAATAACACGTCTAACCATATTTCAGCCCCCTCTAAAGTTATGCGCGTACTTCAACTACTTCAATTGTAAGCATCGTTTATCCTAACTCATCTTCGGGAAAGTTACTCCCACAATGCAATCTCCTAAGTTGTGACTGTGCGAAATTGGCTGATCTCGGACCGCCAAGTAATGGAGAACAGCCTACTCTCGGAATATCGGAACGGCTGGATCATAGCCACGAGCAGTTCGACGGTTCTAGTTCAGGTGTGAGATTCATCTTGTTGGCTTTTCGGGGCCGACTAGCGACATCTAATAAGGGAACTTACACGAGCGAAGCCACCATCGCCACAACCGGCGGCATAAGCCCCACGAACTGCCCCTCCCAGCTTGGATCGATGCCATGGCACGCGACAACCAGTAGAACCAACGTGATAACCCCCAGGACTGCATCATTGCAGGCAAATTGGATGCGCATTTTATCTCTGAAATCCCTTCCTGTTCTAGATCCCTCCTTTTCGCGCACGGGAATTGGGAAGAACGCGCAACTAAAGATGCTCGCTACGAAAGCGAAGATATTCCAGACCAGGATGATCCAGCAGAAGTCGAATAGAAGCTTGTAGATGCGGAGGTTCCACCCATCGCCGACGTCATTGTTTGCCTTGTCTATTGTGCATGCGGCGAACACGGTGTTGAAAAGACGGCAGAAGACGATAATTGGCAAACCACAATCACAGCTCCTTTTTCGAGAATATTTGATCGTACGAGTCCCCCATGAGTCAGTAGAATCGCGCATGTCAGCACGACCGAGGAGCGGTTCCCGGTCATCGGCAAAGGGAGGAGAACGCCCGCTTGATTCGGCAGGCGTGCGGGATAGCTGACTTTGCGGTGTAATCATGTTCGACCTAAGGGTTTTGACATTGTCGATGTTAAAATCAGGCCGCGCGTGTGGAGTGGCCTGGCCGGACTCTATACGTGGGTGAGAATGTGGCATGACGATGCTATGGAGTTCGATCGAAAGTCTTATTTAAAATACCCGGAGCCTTTTTGATTCAGCCTGTCGGCTATCTCGTCCACCAGAGAGAAATTTCGAGTTGAGGGTGGGATCAATCGCCTTTTGCTTCCGTAATTTTCTTTCCTGGGGACCAGGCTGTGCAGGTGATCGTCAGACCTCGACGCGCAACCAATTCCCACTTGCCAACCAATTCGGTGCGGGGGAGGCACGGCGGATTAGGCATCCAGATAGCACCCAATTGTACGGCTTCGTCCTTCTTCATGGTTGAGGAATCAAGCTGTTCTCGGGTTGAAATACCCCGGCCAAAAATTGAATATAAGTCGTCGCCGAAGAATACTTATTAGACTTCGATTCGCAGACTGAGACCTATGCGAGAAATGATATTGTCCCTAAAGGATATCGAGATCTGTGCCATCCTAATGTGGCAAATTCGATGTCATTGGTCATATCTGGTTTATGACAATGCAGGTCAGCCAGCTATCGGTAGCGATGATGCCCTGCATTTAAACCCGCATCTCGAACTATTGACAGAGGCGCAGCCCACAACTCGCACTGGCCTATAAGAACGTAAAAATATGTGTATACTAACGAGTTGATGGTAAGCAGTTTGCTCATGCTAATAGCGGCAGTACGATAATTGGCTGTATGGTTGAAAGTAAGACTATGCCCTAATGATTCGTTCAGCTCCGGGGTACTCAATTCTTACCCGTATGCAGCTGTGTGGACGAAGTAGAACATAACCTCAATCTGGGGGTGGATCGGCCCGTTGATTAAATGTTAAAATGGACGACATCGGGTTTAAAAACGGCGTGAAGCAACTATTATGGTACGTCTCTGACGGCGATGACACAACAGACAGTGGAGCGCGGCTCTCCTCGGACGGTCCCCGTCCCTGGTTGAAGGCAACCTACTAATGCGATGCGAACGATACATTGTCCAATAACCAGGAGCCAAGATCATAGTCACCAGAACATATATGCATGAAGAGCACTGTAGTGCTCTGCACAATATCGAGCGGAGCCGCATCATTAAATGCCGGCTCTCACCTAGAGTCCCGCGAGCTAGATTGAGATGTTGTCGATTTCCCGCACCTATTTTCTCGCTGAGTCTGCACCATCATAAACTATGGTCGTTATGATGGACTGATTTAGCTTCATATGAATAGGATAGCGTCACGTGGTATGTTTTGACGATGCTCAAAGCATGGACCTAGTCACGGTGACTGCTAGCAAGGCGTTTATTGTCACAAAACGATGGGCCGGTCTGGATACGAGACTACAAACATATGGTCAGCTGAAGAACCCGAAACGCCATTCTCGATCTGTTCCGCCGATACACCTGAAATCGAAGAAGAGCACCCATTATTTAAGTTGAAGGATTTATTCCTGCATGTGGCCATGGAGGCTTATATGCAGGTCAACGAGCGGGGGCGTCAGCAAAATGAGACTATGGAAGCAATTGAAGGTAATATAGAGATATCGATCGAATCAGTTGACCAAGAGCATGACACGAATGACCGTCCGCGAAAACGTGGGCGCTTGTCAGATTGCGCCTCAACTGTTGCCGGGGAAAAGAAAAGTCAGAGGGCTAGTACTAGGCGGCGAACACAGGATCGACGACTCTGGCTTGCTTGTCCGTATGCGAAAAAGGATCCAGTACGGTATCGACGCTGCTACGGGTACTTCCTTGGCAGAGTCCGCGATGTTAAGCAACACCTAACACGTTGCCATCGTAAACCGATATGTTGTCCAATCTGTAACGAGATATTTGACGACGAAGATGAAAAGGATGTTCATATACGATCGCAGAGCTGTGCTCGCCGCCCTTCTATCAAGATAGAAGGTATCTCGGAGAAGCAGAAGAAGGAACTTGGCCATAGGCTATCTTCGAAGCTTCCGGAGGATCAACAGTGGTTTGCCGTCTGGGATACCCTTTTCTCTCCGCATCCTCGACCTAAGACACCATACCGCGATAGAGAATTGTCGGAGGATTTATGCGTCTTCCAGGATTTCATGACAGCCCGAGGGCCAACTCTTTTAGCCGATTTTCTGGAAACTAAAGGAGTGACGACTTCAAATCTTCCTAACGAAGAAAGGGATTTGGAAAGTTTCAACAAGGAAATACTTGGGGAAGGGTTGCAACTTATCATTGACCAATGGACAGCGGACAGCGCGACAGCGATCGAACAAAGGAGCGCCACCCAGAGCCTTCGATCATCGCCGACTGTTGACTCGGGCATTGCGTTGCAAATCGGTTGCCCTAAGACGATAGAAAGGCACAAAACAGAAAATCCATCTGGAAGCGACTTCATTAATTCTAGCTCGGATGACAAGAAACGTCTTAAAGATAACGCTCGGAACACGCATAGTGCCTCCGGTATGGCAGGAAATGCAGGGAATACGGAGAAGGGGACGGCCACATTTCAGGCTCATGATGGACCCGGACATCATACCCAGTCCATCATGGATTGGACCACAAACCCGTCAGAGGACTTCTCGATGGATTCTTTCCAAAATCGCACAGAAATATCCAACTCTTTAGATATGTCGCAATTCGCAGTGATTCCGGACTATGCCGAGGCAACCATCTTCCCTGCACCAGCCGGAGCTTCGGACCTACTGAATTTCGACATAGAATGGCCACCCTGACGAGACTCATCCTACTCACGTTTCACATCTGACTTGAAACCCGCTCAAATGCCATCTCAAAAGTTGGAATAGCCCGTCCGGGAATCTGTAAATGGTCCTTGGGTTTTCGCGGACTCATTTCCGGGAGGCCATAGATGCTGCCTCTGCTGTTCCAGCTCTTCCTCCGAAACTCGTCTGCCATGCAGTGCGAATGAAATAGGAAGGGAAGTCTGGTATAGCGTATGTATATGCTTCTTCCAGCAAGTTCAAGCTCCTGCTAATTTGCGTCAAGTGTTATGAATATGTCCCGTACAACCTTACATACAAAGAACTCGGTTCATACTGCTGTAGTCACGGATTATGTCCTAGTTGAACATCGGTCGTTTGGAATCCCTGGACACCAAACCCGGCTACGGAACCGCGATGATTATCAGGTGAAAGGACGATATTAATTATATTCATCGGTCGCATTTAATAGATAGTTAAACATGGCCTAGGATACGAAGAATTGAAGAAGTTGGAATGTAAAGGATAAAAGTGCCCCACTTGAAAATCGAAAGGCGAATTTAAGAAAAACAGCCGTAAACGCTAGATCTGCTTAAGTAAGCCACATCATTTGATTTGTTGGTTTTAACTTTTGCTGCGTTAAGTCGCTAGTTTCGTTTCACTAATACGGGTATAACACTCTAGTAGGCTTTGTTCAATGAAACTCAATAGTTTATTACCTCTCAGTCAATTCGGTATTATATGTCCATGAACTCAAGTGGTGGATGAAGGCGTCGAAGGACGATACGAGCTACGCGTCACTGATGTTCCCAAGATCAGGGGATCTACGGAATGGTAGCGCTCGCTACCACCAACCCCACTGAAAACCGCGAACCAACATCCAATAGAATAAGCTACAGAGAGCATGTTGCCATGCTTGGCTCTGTAAATACGAAACACTGCCCGCCCGCTGAAACTTTTATGCGTTGGTGGCCAGACAATACAAATCAATATCTAACTTGGAACATCGTTCGAACTTGAACTTGACAATTTCATCTTTAATACCCGTCACTCGCTTAGCATGGCAAAATTTGGACAACGGTACTGGCTGCCAGTCCTTCTCACGATCGCCGGGACACTCGCTTGGTCAAATGAGCCGAGAGCGACGTGGCCGAACGGGCCGTTCGTCACCTCGGGCCGGTGGATTAAGGATGCATCCGGCACAATCGTCACCTACGTAGGGGCCAACTGGCCGGGTTCGCTCGACACAATGATTCCCGAGGGTCTGCAGTACCAATCTGTGGAATCGATAGTCCTTCGGATGGCGGGCTTGGGCATGAATGCCGTGCGGCTTACTTACGCGACCGAGATGGTTGATGAATATTACGAAAATGGGCAGACGGATATCACGGTTCAAAAGGCTCTTACCGATGTCCTGGGTCAAGATAATGGGAGCTCGGTTTTCAAGAAGATTCTCACTAATAACCCGACTTTCAACGAGACAATTACGAGGTTGCAGGTGTATGATGCTATTGCGGCGGCATGTGCGAAGCACGGAATTTACGTTCACTTGGATAACCACATTTCAAAAGCGGGCTGGTGTTGCAGCCCTCTCGATGGGAACGCTTGGTGGGGAGACCAGTACTTTAGTGTTGCTAACTGGACTCGAGGCTTGTCTTTCATGGCCACACATGTCTGTATATTCCTATCGTGGCATATGATGAACCAGAATGCTGATATTGACTAGGGAAAATCATGGTCGAATCTCATGTCCATGTCATTGCGAAACGAACTTCGCTCACCGCTGAGCAATTTCACGTTCGCAAGTGAAAATTACAACTGGGAGGAGTGGTATAAGTACGTGAAAGAGGGTGCTGATGCCATCCACAGCGCCAACGGCGATGTTCTGATATTCCTGTCTGGCCTGAATTCAGATCAGGATCTAAGTGTCGTGGTCAATGGCACGGCACTCACGCCGGGATCCGCCACCTTTAACTCGGATGACTTTTCAGGTTACGCCGACAAGCTAGTGCTCGAGTTGCACGCGTACGACAACATCTTCGGACCCGGCCCGAGCGACTGCAATACAGTGGGGACCGAGCTGTCTGATGATGGATTCGTGGCCTTGACGAGCGATGCTAAGAACGAGTTTCCGGTAGTCTTGACAGAATTCGGCCTTGAACAGAACTCAACGGCAGCACAGGATCCCTACGTCAAATGTCTATTAAATTACACCTCTACCAAGAACGCTGGTTGGATGATCTGGCAGATCGGCGGAAGCTACTACATTCGTGAGGGTACACAGGATCGCGATGAGACTTGGGGTTTGTTGAACCACGACTGGTCGGATTGGAGGGCGTCGGATTTTGTCAACGGCTCCTTGGCCCCTGCGGTGAAGAGCACCGTCAACATTAACCCCGACTCGATTTCGGCCGCTGGCACGTCGGATACGAAATCCGAAGGCACGAGAATGAAGTCAATCCTCACTTCAGGACTCAACGCTGCGATATTCATAATTGGTCTAACATTGATGTTTTACTAGAATGATACGATACTTAATTGGATAGACTCGGTTACATCAGCAATTTAGATCACAATAGATACGGCGTTACTGGCAATACGGCATTCCAACAAATCATAGGTATCATTTCTTGGCGCAGGCATCAGTTTATATCAATCGAATCTATTATCATTATTCATTATTGAATGGTGATCATTTCTATCGTCTATCCATAATACTCGAAAATAGTCTTCAGCTGGGCCTCGCCGTATCCGGCATGCAGAGCCAACTGCAGCATGATACGCGCCTTCTGGGGGTTCAAGAAGCCGCCGCCAATTCCGAAGGTTCCGGTCGGCTCGACGTAGCCGTCCATCGTCCTCCGCGAGTAGATCACGGGCGTGCCGTTGGTCTTGATGAGCTCCTCGATAACATCGTTTCCGTCATCGGTCCAGCCTCCCGCTCCCATGCCCGCAAGCACGAGGCCCTTCGCGCCCTCCGCCACGGCAGCCTTGGCCAAGTTGGGGTTCAGCGCCTGGTACCCGTAGATGATGTCGACCTGGGGCAGCTCGGCGGCGCTCTTGACGCCCGAGAGGTCGAAGTACGGCTTGTCCAGCGGCAGCGCCGGGTGGTAGTAGAACTTGGGCTTGATGTTGATGAAGAAGCCGAGGAAGCCCTGCTCGGTGGCCTTGAAGGTGTCGAGCGCGTTCGCGTTGGTCTTGGTGGTGAAGAACGCGTTGCCGATGCGGTCGTTGAGCACGATCATGGCACCTCGGCCCTTCGCCGCCGGGTCCGCGGCCAGCGTCACGGCCTCGAGCAGGTTGATGGGGCCGTCGGCGCTGATGGCGGTCGAGGGGCGCATGGCGCCGACGAAGACGACCGGCTTCTCGGACCGGATGGTCAGGTCGAGGAAGAAGGCGGATTCCTCGAGGGTGTCGGTGCCGTGCGTGATGACGACGCCCTGGCAGTAGGGGCTGTCGAGCTCCTTCTGCACGAGCTGCGTCAGGTTGAGCAGGATCGCGGGCGTGATGCTCTCGGACCCGACGTTGGCTACCTGCACGCCCTGCACGTTGGATATATTCACGATCTCCGGCACGGCTTCGAGCAGCGACGCGATGCTGACTGCGCCGGCCTGGTATCCCGTTGTTTGGCCGCTAGAGCTTGCCGACCCGGCAATCGTTCCGCCGGTTGCGAAGATCGTCACATTGGGTAGGCTGGCGTTGTAGGTGACGGTATCGTCCCGAACGACGAGAAGAGGTTTCGCAGGAGGGGGCAGGGGCGATCCTAGGGCGTAGGATGCCGTGCAGACGAGAGATAGGAACTTGAATGACACCATCGTGAATTGAAGCAATGGGGTACCGCTTGAAGTGCAATGAACCGCGCCTGGTGAGTAAGAACCTGTTTCACCTACCTAGATAGGATATGCGCCTTGGCTTATATAGGGGGCGCATATCGAGGACAGGCACCTTATCAATGCATGGCTACTATGTAATACGGGATTGTCATTTTTCGTGATTTCAAGGCGCCTGGGCACGTTTCTTGGAGGGCGCGCACATGGCCATTGGGCTTAGCTCTGCCATTCGGGCATGATTTCCAAGAAAAGGTTGGAAATCGTCATATCAAAGCATATCATAGCATATCGGCGCGGCCGAATCGAGTTAAGATAGTAGTTGGGCGATGCCTGGATTCCCTTATCTCGAGTTTCGCTTGGGATTGCTAAGATGCTAATGTCAGCGCGACCCGCGCTTTACCGTTTTCGAGGCCGGCCGCTCCCGATATGCAGATAACGGCATCGTTAGGCTGGTTGGCTACCAGTGGCACGGATGCTACTTACAGGGGACTCCGCAGTCGAACCGGAGTCCGGGGATGATCTTCATAACACATCCATGTCCGTTTGACTTCCTATCTCCTGCCAAGGCGACGCTCGGGATGGACAGTAAGCTTTCGGGAACCAATCAGATAGCGCTACAGAATCTAGGAGACTCGTACTTCGCTACTTATGTAGGTACACAATCGTGATTGTTTTAGTATGTTATTCCCTAGGCTAGTTTCTAGTTCAAAGAAAATCGTTCTAGAATACTCAGCCTCAACGGGTGGGGGACATCAGATATTAGTCTGATTCATACTGCGATTCATACTGCCTACCTGATATCCATAAGTCACATTATCTTATATGGATAGCAGGAATGCCATTTTACTCACGAAAAATATTTGATTAAGGCAAAATTAGTCCACCAAATTAACTATCCCCATCGCTCCAGAGCTATTTACGTGAATATGTACTATCTAGCTTTGTTTGTGACAGCTAAGCTCATACAACACACCACTTGGTGACTCCATAATCCGCAGGGGCGGTGTCATACCACCAGGCAAACAGACAGGTTAGTTTTTTTTCTTCTTGACAATAATCGTTGTCTGTTTGTAAATACCTGTTCTCAGATATCACGCTTTGCCGCCAGACTAGGACGCCCAAGGAGCTAGGAGTGCTAGATTCCTTTATCAAAATACATAGTTCATTTATGACTACCAATGTCTCTTTGTAAAGGGATATACATCTGTAGAGGACAAAGAAAGTGAGATCATCTGTATACCAAGGAGGTATGCATTAACAAATACATTGATAGCAAAGCTCCAGTGAAGTATATGAACATGTTTATCACAATAGGATATATAAAAAGGACAGAAAAGCATCACATATATCATACCTATCTGATCAGATCAACTCCTAATAGTTTTACACCTATCACTTATTACGATACCACATCCGATACCACATCCGGTCAGATTACGAAAAATGGATCAACAAGCAAATGATGCGAGATCTATACAAGATCCTAAACTTCTTGCGGATATGCTAGATGAGAGGGATAAACTACTAGATATTAGTTTTCGTGCGGTTACTAAGTTGAAACAGAGGATCAAAAACCTACAAGAGGGGAATAGAGGGTCGAACCAAAGGCCCAAAGGAGTGAGCCAAACGGACGCTCAACATACTCAACTGGGGGAAGCAAATCGCAAATTGAGGGAAGAGAAGAAGATGCTGGATGAAAGAGTAGCTACTCTTTCCAACCAGGTCGCGCAGCTTCAATCTGACGTTAGGGAGCGCGAGACCCAGATATTCAGTCTTCAACCTTTTCGCATCGAAATCTCACAAGATGAAGCAAAACAAGTAAGTTAAGTGTCTTTTATCAACTGTAAGGCGAAGCTAACACATATTTAGAGCTACGATGTCATTATTAGAGATATTAATGCGTTTATTGACGATTGGTTGAATCCACTCCAAAGGGATAGCAAGCTGCAAAACGAGTCTGTTCTCCGGGCTAAAAGGAATGGGCAGGATAGCAGGGACTTTAGGGAATACTTCATCAAGTACAAAGATCTCCACGACATAGTACTTAATTTCCCCAATCTTGATGTGGATAATGAGATCCTTACCTCCTATGTCGCCAGATTCATCATTGAAATGGTATTTGAAAAGGGGTTCTCCGCCATTCATCCTGAGTGCGCCCGCATGCTAGATCTCGTGGAATACTCTATGAGAAATAGTACTAACCCAGTGTCAGGTAAGTAAATATCCCATTTTTTCCCTTCGTGAGGTGAAATACTAACAGTATTTTTTAGATGAATATACCACAATGTCTTGGAGAGCCCAAACCAGTTTTGCTATGCTCGCGATCCCAGAAGTCGAACAGGCACAACGCGAATCTAGAGACCAGCTTACGAATACTCTAGCACATTTGTTGGGGTTCATGTTCGACGAAAAAGACCGCGAGGCCTTTACAAATTCGATCGCGACCAGTATAATTGATCCGGCCCTTAAATTTCAAGCGCGGTTACTTTGTTCGACCAGCGAACGTTTTTCCTTCGGAGTACATACGGAGGCTCGTGCTGGGCAGAATTTTCAAGGCGAAATGTCCAATCTAAGAAACCTCGATTGCCTAAACGTAGCTGCGAATTTCCGTAAATTCGACGTCGATAAGCTGAATCCCATACCACATATAGGGCAACTTCAGAGGGAGCTTTACATGGCGTGTTCACTCCACCCAGCGTTGTTCGCGACCCGGGTTAGTAGCAGCTCCTCGAACAAGCCTATTCTCATATCCAAAGAACAGATGCTAGTGTCCTACCAACGAAGCAGAAATGGCAAAGATCTAATGTCAACAACAAGGGGCGGTTCAGCATCGTTGCTCTATAAAATCCTTAACGCTTAATAAGGCCTTAATCTTGGAGTTCTTAAGGAAAATTGGATAAACTTATAGCTATACTTGTGTATATTGCTGACTCATTGGAGTTGTCGGTTGGATGATATGTCATTGGCGCCGAAATCAGGCATATATGCGACAAATATAGAAATTTACCTTAAGGGGCAAACTCGTGATAGTTCTAGTATGTTATTCTCTACCTAGACTAAGTAGTTTTTAGTTCGAAGAAAGTCCTTTTAGAATACTCAGCTCCAATAAGTAGAAACACCGGATAGTATACTTGATAAATCACATTCTCTTAGATCGTAGACATATCATTTCACATGCGAAAAAAAGGATCAAGATAACAGTAGTCTATTCTATTGGATATTCCAATCACTCACAAAGTCTATCTAGCTCTCTACAGTGGCTAGACCCATGCGTCTTAAATCTACACATACTCCGCAGTTACGGTGCCATGTCGCTGGCCTAATGGGACTGTTAGCAATGGACTAAAGACCTCAGGTGGTGAGGAATACTTGCCTTTGTAGATGAGAGTATATTCGGTCGAAGCAGACTGGTCTAAAATTTGTCAGTCTCACCATGCTATTATCAACGTAGACAAGATAAAACGTACAGATCGATTCAATCTGGTATTCAAGCTGATAATACATCATTTCATCGACTCCCAATGTCTTTTCTAATTCGTTCTCAGGAATGTGATGAAGGTTTGCGGTCACACGGCAGAGAAGCTTTACGTTCTTGTCTTTTGATAATGGTGCTACGCTGGACACCTGGTCAGAGTAGATGTTTGATGTAATTGAGTTGGGCCGGCCAAGAACTACCGGCTGTGCATGATAATATGTCCGTAGGAAGGGTTCATTTTCCGAGACGGGTTCGCCCTGTTATAATTAAGTTTGTAAGCCAGAGAATCAAGTGTTCATGGGACATCTCGTGCCGAACATACTCGTTTGATGATCCAATCCATTACCTTCACTCTCCAGCAGCCTGTCAAACCATCCCAGTACTTTCTTGAGCGTAATGATTCGTGTTTGCGAGGATCAAATGGTCTCCCGCACGAATAGCCGTAGTGCTTTCGAGCAGTTCTTGTCTTGACGATTGGCACGTCGTAATTTACCGGGTTGGCTAGAGATAGGCCTTTCATCACAGCACCTCTGACAATTGAAGCCCAGGAGTTTGGAGGCTGTAAAACTTCAATTTCATTTACGATGGAGGAGTCCTCTCGAACCGCAACTTGTATTCTCTCTCTGAGATATATAGAGGCGCCGTAACCGCCAACTAGAAGGATCTTCTGAATAGGTACAGCGGCCATAGCTATTTGATCTTTCACTAACTGGATGATTTTTATCATGTCAGGCTCGAAGAATAAGTGTACTTCGTCGGCCTTGAGTGTAAGACGACCTGTTCGATGGATCCCTACGTCTGGATTAAGACCCAATCCTGGAACAGGTACGTAGAATTCTCTGTTTCGTGCTAAAGCGCTCATGTCGAATTTACGTTTCACCTTGTTTTGATAGGTTAGCGAATCTTAAGAAGTTCATGTGGGAAAATACGACTTACGTCCCCCTCGAAATTTTCGACGGCTCCGTGTAATACTTCATCGTCCCAGCCATCCTCGCGTCCAAGCCTGGACGTCAGAAACTGGATAAATCGATCATTGAGACGTGACGAGCCGCAGAAATCGCCAGTCCCCTCAGTAGCTTCGGCAACCTCAAGTCCCGGGAAGAGGGAAGTGATGGTATAAGTAATAAGGTCTACTGTGCCACCACCAGCATCAACAACTACAAAAGAGTCGTTGACTCTCAGGTCGTGGTTATTGAGATCTCGGAGCGCGGCAGTGGCGGCAGCTTCGGGCTCCGAGAAAAGGGTTGTCAAATGATCTTTAGGAAGATTAGGAATTCGCTCGAATGCTTTAGTCGTTCTTTGTCTGGCTGCCTCTCCCCAAATAGCCGGGACAGTTAAGACAAAATGAAGGGTACTGTTGTGAAGCAGGCCATTTCCGATTTGTCTTTGCATAACTTTCATAAAGTACTCAAAGACTCCCGCAAGGTAATCAGTAATGTTTTGGTCAACATTGTCAAAGTCGAGGGATTTTCCGATCACATCAACAGAATTTCTATACCGATCAATCTCAAGTCCACTGTAAGCATATATCAGTTAAATCCATAGGCTGTAAAGGCATTGTCATATCTCACAGCTTGAATAATGACAAGATATCTCGTGGTTGGGCGTCATCAGGGATTTGAAAGCCCCACTCAATTTCGCCGCTATCCAGATATCTCAACTTCGTGGGAGCTTTGGGGGAGCTTGACCCTCCTTGGCTCTCACGACTACTCGGCCAGTCATTAATTAATACTTGTTGTCCGTTGTTTCTTTCGCTTTCAGCCCATCCGATACCCGTGAAAGTGGTACCGAAATCAATGCCAACAATTATCCTACGGCGATCTGAGGCATCCATTGTGCTAGAATAATAACGATGTTCCTAATAAGTGTGTTGACCTCTGTTACGAACTTGAACTTGTTCTCCTTCAGCTACGATGGCAGAAGCTGTGGTAGTTTAAATAACGTTGATGGTTCTAGGAAATGCCTTAGAGAAGGTCCCCGAATCAACTATTCCGCCTGTCTCAAGATAAAGCTTGTTTGTTTTGATAGTCTCACGATATGAATCACAAGTGCCTTGCAAATCGATATACCATGTAAGACTTACATAGGTAGGTAGGTAATTAGGCTGAGATATCTAAGAAGCTAAGGATATTAGATCTTGCCTAGGTTAGTGATTCTTTTGTCAAGGGGTGCACGTTTTGTAGTGAAATTTCTGGGGTAAATAGAAGCTGAGTTAATATCCTTTGTAGTATCACATCATGTAAATTATAAGTGAAACTGGTCAATATGAATACGAATAAGAATATCTTTCAACAGAAAGAACGATGCTGAAGCTTCCGTAGAGTTGCAGGCCGATTCCACAAAACTATGTGGGTAGATACATGTTGCTATGAAGTACCTATATATGAAGGTAAAAAGGCACCCCTGTAGCTTTCAAGGCCTCGAGATTCATGATACGCCAATCAGTAACCTCATACTACCTAGTTGTGCCACTATTGCGTGCTCGCGATGTCTTTTCTCCATCGGCTTAGACGATTGGTACGGACCAATGAAAAGCGAATGATCAAAATCGTCAAGAAGCAATCTAGCGTCGCTACTCTAGTTATCGACTTGCTTGAAGAGAGAGATGAACAGGCCAAAGTTTCTTCTAGCAAGATTCAGCAGCTAGAACAGAGGAACAAAGAGCTGGAGGAGAGGTTAGAAACGAATCAAGCGGAGGTTCAATCTGTTCAGATAAAGGGGTTGAAGCAAGAAACGGATAGAAAAATAGACTCTCTTCTTAAAGAGAACGCGCAGCTTCGCTCTGAGGTTGGGGAAAGAGAGTCTCAAATATTCAGTCTCCAACCCTATCGCCAAGAGCTCACAACAGATGAAGCAAGAACTGTAAGTGTTTATAATTGACTATAAGACGAAACTAAACGCCCCTTAGGAATACAAAAATCTTGTTTCTAGTATCAGGGGCTTTGTCGAGAACTGGACGAGTTCGCTTCTCCGAAATCCTGAGATCCAAAAAAAGTCTCTTTCATGGGCTAAAAATCACAGAGATAATATAAGTCACTTTGGGGGGCGTCTTGCCAGATGGAAAGATCTCTACGACACAGCACGCATGACCAATATCGATATCGATCAGGAAATTCTCATTGCATTTATCCTAAGATTCCTACAAGAGACCTTATTCAAACGGAGATTGACATCTCTTCATCCTGATATGGATAGCATGATGGATTTTGTTGACAACTCTATGCGCAAGAGTGTAGATCCAAAGCCAGGTAGGAAATCTAGTTTCCCATTCAGAACGAAAGATTAATGGCAGTGTCAGATGAATATGCCATAAAGTCTTGGAGAGCCCAAACGAGTCTTGCTATGGTCACAGACCCAACAATTCTCCAGCATCGAAATGCATGTGGCCATAGGCTTTCCACTGAATTGGCATACCTATTGGGGTTTATTGTACAAGATAAAGACCGCGAAGCTTTCATAATATCTATCGAGGTCGAAGTAATTAGTTTGGCTTTGAAACTCCAAGAAAAGGTTTTTACTTCGACCAATGACTTCTTCATGATGACACATACACGGGCTCAATCTGGACATGGGTTTGAAGGCAAGCTACAACATCTACGGGACCTAGAATGCACGAATATCGCTGCGAATATGCGTAAATTCAATGTTGACAAGTTGGGCAGTATTCAAAATATGGAGCAACTCCGAAGGGAGCTTTATATCATATGTTCGCTCTGTCCAGCTTTGCTTGTGGTCCAAACCGGTCGGGGCCATTCCCCAGAAGAGCCTTCTATTGTATCTAAGGAGGGGATATTGGTGGCCTGGAAACTAGGTGAGAGAGGTGATGAGTCGTTGTCAAAGCTAAAGCATGATTCAGGCTCATGGCTTTATAGAATTCTTGGCACATTATAACACTCCGATCTCAAGATTCTCCATCCATGATAGTGGGACTGGTGGATAGATTTAGGGTGCTGTCAACTTATCAGAGTTGTGAGTTAGAGCAGGTAAGGCGAGGAGGAGGTATTTCGTGCCATGTTCGGTTGTCGAGGCATTTTCTCAGATACTATTTGGTACATAGATTAGTACCTCCAAAAGAATGTACCAAAACCTTCCAGGGGATCAACTAACATTGCGTTTCATTCTAATTTGAATTGATACCTAGTTCTTCGAGTATCCATGCCTCAAAAGAGTGAGTGTTTGTCTAGACACTACCTATGTCTGAAATTATATTTAAGTCATTATTCCCGTGTCTGGGTATTCTATAGGTAAGTTTTAATCATCAAATTGATTAGCCTTAATATTCACGATTCGGCATTCAATCAAGAGTATTGATATATGGATGAGCGATTCAACAAGATGGCCTGTAGTAATGTTGCGGAATGCTCCGCATGCTTCGAGACCAAATCGTTAGCTGAATTTCAACGAACTCCGTTGACGGAGAAATGCGACCATGTCTCAAGCTTATGCCTTGCTTGCGTTTCATTGTCTATTAACTCTCAGATTCGGGATATGGTCTTAGAACAAATTAGTTGTCCCGAGTGCAAGGAGGAATTGGGATATACCGAGATCCAAAGGTTTGCCAAAAAGGAGTTATTTTCCCAGTAAGTTCCACGTACTACCCGGAGATTCTATCCCCTTTATAACTTCATGATAATAATCCACCTAGATACCACTCGCGCGCAATTGATAGGCTTATCTCAAAGGCCAATAATTTCATTTGGTGTCCACTTGGATGTGGCTTAGGATTGATTCACTATGCTGGAAATGAACATCCAGTCGTCTACTGCCCCAAGGATAACCGTCAATTTTGCTTCCGCCATAGAGTCCCTTGGCATAGTGATTATACCTGTGATGAATACGACGCATTCCTCCAAGATCCAGAACACTTCCGTAGCGAAGCTCAGAAACAGAGAGGTATCTACCGGACTCAAGAACTCAGTAGGAAAAGATCCCGCCAAGAATACGAGGAAGCCGAAGAGCGGTTCACCCAAAGTTTGCTAAGAGAAGAAGAGGCTGCCGAGGCTCGCAGAAGAGCTCGCCAGCGACGCATAGAGGAGGAACGCAGGCTAGCCGAAGAAAGGGCTCGACTAGTGGAACAGGAGAGAAGAGCCCAAGAGGCTTTGCAACACCAGGCGCGGCTAAGAAACGAGGAGACTGCAACGAACAAGAGCCTCCATCAACTCACTAAACGCTGCCCAAGCTGTGGAATCCGTATTCAAAAGAATGGGGGTTGGTGAGTGATATCTAAAACGTGAATTCTTATTATGTGGTTTTGCTAATAAGTTGTGTTCTCATTATAGTAACCATATGATATGTAGGATTTAGGTCATCGCCTTATGCCGAATGCATGTGCTAATACTGGTGTCGGTCTAGGTTTACATTGTGGACGTGACTTCAATTGGTCAGAGGCTTCTCGGTAGTATTCCGACATTTACCTATGTATTTGGAGGGTCCCTCGAGAATATGTGACCCTTACTTATAGTTCGAGGGGCTTTGATTTCAGGGGTTGGGCACGTAGCTGATCACCGTGTCACAGAGTGAGAGACAGTAACAGGTAGATCGCTGTAACTGAGTCCACTAGGTACAGACCTAGCAGAATTGTAACGCTTGGCTTTCTCTAAAATCCCTAAGGGCTTTTGCCCCTTTTGAATTACCTCGAATGGCTATCAAAGAAGGTAGTGATGGCATTGCTACAAGGTCTTCAGCTATCAGCCCCGGACTTGTAGACCGATGACTTAGGGTAGGTAGGCATAACTTTGGAGTATCTTCGCTAGTATAAACCTTCGCTAGGTACCTAGCTATGGGCTTCTATGGAGTGAGGTATACTTGAGTATATAAAGTTTTTCAATATGCCAGCTACAGCTTACAATGTATATTTATCATTTTTATTGCCTTGTAAATTTCATATAAGTGACAGACGTGCTACCCTACCATTCTCTCCGGATGCCCAACATACATCGCCACTTATACATTCTACACTATCGAAGCTGCCATTATCGAAGACATGCCAATTCCGACCACTATCCAGCGTGATATCAGATCCTGTCGGGCCAACAGCGAGTGCCACACCGCAACGTCCAGGAACCCAGGACGACCCGGAACGATAACCGCCGGGGAACGTAGTAGACGGTACCCAAGTTTGACCGCCATCACTTGACCACGCCGCATTATCAACATTGCCCGCAGGCGCCGAATAATTCCCACCAACAGCAATCCCATTCTCCGCATCGCGAAACTGCACCGAAAAGACCCCCGCCCCCTCTCCCCCAGCCACCGACGCATTAGAAACCTCCCAGTGATACCCATCACCGCTCCTAAACACCCTCCCCGGGTCCACACCCCCCGAAGCAAGATACCACCGCCCCCCCGCCGTAGCAAGACACGTCCCACTCGCCGCAAACCCCGCCTCGCCCCCCAGCGCCGGCGGCATACCCGCCGGATCTACGACGTCCCAGCTCCGCCCCCCGTCGCGCGTCTCGACGAGCCGGAACTTCCCGTCCACGGGATCGCTGACGGCCATCCCGCGCTCCGCGCTCGCGAACGCGATGCAATCGTAGAACGCCGCCGGGTCCGCGTTCGCGAACGCGAGATCCCAGGATGTGCCGCCGTTACTAGTGGCGTAGATGCGCGAGCTGGTGCCTGCGCCGATGGAGAGCGCGATGGCGCGGTCCGCGGACCAGGCTTCGATGTCGCGGAACTCGAGGGGGGTGTCTGTGTCTGTGTCTGTGGCGGAGAGGGTGGGGCCTACGGAGGCCCAGGTATGCCCGCCGTCGACGGTGTGTAGGATGGTGTTGTTGGTGCCGGAGACCCAGGCGATCTTGGCGGATACGGGTGCTAGGCCGCGGAAACGTGCTGTGCTTCCTGTGGGTAGGAGATTCCAGCTTGGGGTTGGAAACGTGGTGTCCTTCGGTGTGATTAATCGCCCAACGGCCAAGTTTGCTAGCACGGCGATGCCGAGTAGAAGAGTTCGCGGTACACGCGCCATGATGAATGATGATGCTGCGCTTGGCTCAGACCGACAATCATCACCGAAGAGTGAGCGGCGACGGGGTATGTTTGTTCTAAGAATGGGGGCGAGAGTGAAATCTTTTAAGATTGATCTTGGCTTAATCTTATCGTTGCTCTTTACTAGGTTACCATGCAGTCTCTTGGCAGTCTCCCGAGTCCATGGCGCTCTTTGAGAACCCCTGTCACACAGGTTCTTGCCATATCGGGCAGGTGAATGATACTACATTGTCTCGCCATTTGCGGCTTGAAATCTTTGAGCCACTGTGAAATATCGGAAATCTTATTAATTTCAACTGTGAAAATCACTACATCGATCAACCTAGTCACCATCTACAACACTCGGTCGTCCGTAGAATCAAAATCTGGGGCTATTAATGTCGCAATTCAATTCGTTCTAAGAAGAATCAATTGCCTAGGTACGTGAAGCAAATCAAACATAAATTTTACCTGTCTAGCAACTATAGGTGCCTATGAATTAAGCGCTTCTCGCCTTACTCTTATACGGAAAGTATTTGGGTGCTTTTGGATACCCTCTTAAAGTCGTAGTTGCCGGGGATCCATCTTTCGGGCTTGGCAATCCGGCGCGGGCGAATGCGCTCCGGGAAAGTGGCGGCTTGGAGCCGGTTCTAATGCGCGGAGTAGGTTTGCGCACGATAGGTTCTGGTGCCGAACGGCGGATCACCGTGGCCATAGGACCAATTTCAGGACTTGCCCGTGTAAACTTTTCTGCTGAGGCGACAGTGACAATAGCTTCGTTCTCATATTCATCAAGCTGTTCGTCAGAGTCCAAGGACTCTGTCACTGATATATCTGAGAGGGACCCGGAAGAAACATTTATCTCCTCGGAATATATAATGTTTAGTATATTTTCAAATTCTTGGTATTCATTAGTAGTATCAAGCTCAGATAGTTCTTCATCTCGCCGGTGAAGCTCGGAGTCAGTCGTGGTCAAGTCCCTATTTTCGGTGTTAAGCTTGAGCTTGGCTTGTAAAACAGCTTCTAATTTTTCTGGGTCGAATTCTCCGGGTATGGCTTCTGAGCATCCATACTCAAATCTTAGATAATTTTCGTAGTTCCTAGCCTTGATGTCCCTTTTCGAAAATGACTTGGAAGACGGCTTGCATTGCTGTAAAAAAATCTTGCGCTCTGGTTGTGGGTCAGGGTCCGGAAGTTCGTTAAAGTTATTGCATTTCTTCATGATCTCGTAGAGATTCTCGGATTTTACCTTGCCCATTTTGGATAATATTTGTTTCTGAGAGTATATGTATTTGAGTAGCTCACCTATGTCAAGGTTGAAACACCTGAAGCGCCATAGAACTTCAGATATTGGGTTGAAGGAAGTCGATGAAGCATGTTGGCTTATCGTAAAATCCATCCTTTGACCCGATTTCCATTGTTTCCAACCTACTGAACATACCAATAAACAAGGTTAAAACAATTGATCGGACCTCAGGTACTTCTTTTGTGATTAATTATAGCAACTCATTTCCTTTACGTTACGAAACGTTGCATTTCATAGGATGGCCTTATTCCCGTCCTTGCGGAAATAGTCGAGTCCCATACCAAAGAAATCCTCAACAATTCTGTTGCCTTTGACTGATTTGTGTGTACTGTGTTTTTGAATTTCTCAAGTTGTTTGCCTTTCAGCGGATACCGACTATGATGTTGAAGACGAAGCTAAAAATAACTTATCGAACACTCGGTAATGGTTCACCGGCGGTATCCCTTGCGGTTCTACTTTTTGCGTTGCACACAAGTCGTTAGACTATGGAATGCTGCTAAGTCAGCTTAATTTAAGGAGGAACATATTGTCTTGCAATGTTCTCTTTGGGGTACGATGGGCAGGATGGGGCGGATCGAACGTGTGAAACATGCAGTAGATAGTCCAGCCGTTAGATCCCAAGTTATTAATGATTCGGCACCAAAACATTATTACTAACGATTGTGGAGATTGCACTACATCAAATCACCAAAATCTACCGGACTGTCCCGTCTTTCATGCAGGACCTGCATACCCCTATTATTATTTGGGTCTTGATCGCAACTGAAAGATGGCTATGTTAACGATATCTTGAAAATATTGTGTCACATCAAATTTCCAGCCCGTAAAAGCTTACGACGTCGTGATCGCTGACCACGTTCTGAGCAGCCTTCACTCCCTGAACCTGGTCTAGAATCTCACCGCATGTACACGCTGGCATGGACGCTAGGGATCTTCCTACGGATACGTGCTGCAATGTTACGATGAGTCCTGTACGAACGGCACTTGGTCGCCTAATGCTAATGCGAAGGAACTTTAATAAGACGTCAGAAGATGAAGAAATTCCGGGTACTAGATAATAGCCTATCACAAAGAAGCAGGGACTCTGCGATGTTCGGACGAAGCTTGTGGACTCGAACGAGTTAACGGAGCAACGGAGCAGCTTCCACAATGCGGAGGGTTCAACGACCTCTCGTAAGACGGGAGCACAAGGAAATTGACCGGATTTTGAGTCGAGTCCCGAGACTCTGGAAACGAGCCAATTAAGTTGACCGAACGTGGAGCAGACCATGTATCATATGCGGTGCGACTGGTCCCAACAGCGTGCCGTGCCACTTCTATTTACATACATACATCTCACCAGTATGCGAATGTGAGGGCGACGGCGTGACGCAGAAATAGTGAATTGTTCTCCTCTTTTCACACCGAATTTCTATGCCCGTTTGGTGCGGACTAAGATGCGGTCATCATCAGTGCGCTACACGTAGCAATTCCCGCATTAATTCCCGCGTCGTAGAGGGTCTTGAGGGGCGAGACGGGAAACTCGGATGACCCTAGGGCTCGTGTTCTGAGATAAAGTGAGAATCGAGCTTATGTAGGTCATAGCTGGGTCCCACCGTTGTAGTTCATTGGTTAGTGAGGCTGAATACGGTAATCTCCCACGCCGCTCGTAAGCGACCCCGCTGTTTATGGCCGTTGCGGCGGACAGACGGGATCTCTCGACGGTGCTTGGCATCGTCGAAATGTTAGATCGAGGTCTAAACGACTCTAGAATGCTAGATCGCAGTAAGCAGGGCGATTCTCCTCGTTAAGATAGAGTAGCTGAACCCGACAGAGTGATTGATGAAGTCATATCGCATAGGTAACGAAGTGCCTGGTGACCGTATCCGTTTATTGAGAGCCGGGGCTGACTCGATTAGCACCGAATTTTAGCGATGATCTGCGCTGTAACGGGCGAACAACTTCGAAGGCGGAGCTAGCGTCGATTTCTCGTCACTTCACTCAAGGATAGCGGTGACGATGTTCGGTGACAAAGAGTAAGAGCAGCCATTCACGATCAATGGTTTTCTTGTTAGTCAATGCATCCGTCGGATATCGAGCCATCTCACGTTACACTTCAATGCCCCGATCCTTCGTTACCTACCAGCTGCCTCATGCATCTCATGTAAATTGCTGCTAGTGAGATTTTTATGTAAACGTCATACGGCCGTCAGCAATAATTTGCGAACAGGTGAATAATGCAACTTGACTTGGACTAGCAGGTAGTAAGTTTTGGTCCTAATTTGATCGTACCTTGGAGGCATATCCAGGCACTCCGAACGCTCAGGGGTCACTCCTATTGCTGGTAGTTTTTAACTTCCCCTAGCACTTCTTGGTGTCTTTCGGATAACGGCCATCCATCCATCCCTCGGCAATTTTTTGTCTTGGATTTTTTAAGTTGGGGCACTAAGACGTAAGCCAGGTCTTTTATTAATTAAATAAAAGTCCGAATATACAGCTTGCAGATTCTGTGCCGTCAATATGTCGCCCGTCACTACACTTGGCCGCGGCTCGTTTGCCTAGGCCTAACGAACGGGCTAGACTAGTAGTTAAAGTAGACCAACATGCTACTTTCAACGTCATAACGTACCATATTTCTTAGCCCAGATGGCTTCACGAACCACTCACGGGTAACAGGGACAGAAATGTTGTTTATACCCCGCAATGTGGCAGCACCGCGTCCAGCAGTGATCAGAGGGATCAGACTAAGCCGGCTCGGGCCAGACGGCACTGACAAGCTATCGTGTAAACCGAAGCGAAGTGAAAGGGATTGTCTGACGCAAAGAATCGATGGTCAGAAAAAGAAATAAGGAAAGGGGAAAAAACGAGCCAAAAGAACCACGTTCTGTCGTATCCCCGCTCCCAAGTAACACAATGAAGAGGGCTGTGATCGTCGAGCGCTAGACCCGAAGTGCTTATGGCTTTGTGCATTTTGGTACATTCTTGCCAGCAAAGCAAATGCGAAAAGAATGCGTGGTGACGCCCCGGCAGCCCCAAATCTCGTATTTTTCTGCTACGCTTGCAGCTGACTACATGTCCCTACATCTCTCTAGTCTCCCAGTTCTCCCTAACGCTAACACACTATGCAATACTACGCAGTATGCGCTCGCTAGGCGCTCAATGGTACGCATATCCCCCAGCACATCCTTGCCGGGTCAGGGGTTTCAGCTCCCAGCCTCATTCGGCACAAGCGCCAGTGAATCATAACCGCTCTGGGGTTTCCTAACCTCAAAAGGTCATAGTATTTTTGCATCTCCTGTTCCCACTGTTTCTGCGAATCACACAATGTTGAAGCTATGACGTTCCCCTTCCTCTAGGATCTTTCGGAACATTTTCCTTTGAAAGCAGCTGCCAAAAAAGCACCGTCAAAGAGAGCCGTTTTATAACGATCGTCCAGTTCACCCACAATAGCCCGCTTACACATCACTCATTATTATATAGACGATGCCCACCGCTCGCCTTCGCACTGCGATGGATAGGGTTCTCGACTTACACTCCACCCCCTTCATAATATAATAATAGCCTTAGGATCTGTGCTCGATCGTAAATCTCATCTGCGTGGAGCTCATCGTCGTCCCTAGAGCCTTGGCATCGTCTTGTAACCACGTTCACTACACTACACTAATAGTAATAATCCCGCTCCCGAAGGGCGACGACTGATCGACGCCATGCGGTTTAACCTTTCTGCGCAGGCCCTCTGCGGCGCCATCTGCGTGTCGGCCTTGGCCGTCCCCAGCCCCGTCGAGAAGAGGCTACAGCTCATCGACCTCAAGCAATTCGGCAGCTTCCCGACCATCACGCCCGAGCAAGCCCACGCCGAAGCTCAGCCGCTGTCGATCATATTGGGCGACGGGCCCCAATATACCGGCAAGAAGGCCACAACGTCAACGACTAACAAGGCCCCGGCCACCGCCCAGGAGTTCACCACCGAGGACGCCGCCGCCGCGGCGGACGGCACCTGTGACCGTAACAACCCAGCAGTCCGCTTCGAATGGAGGAATTACTCAGCTGACGACCGGAAGGCCTTCGTCAACGCCATTAAGTGCCTGATGGGCAAGCCGTCGTCGGGCAACTTCCAGGGCGCGCAGAACCGGTACGAGGACATCGTGTCGGTGCACCAGCAGCTCACGCCGCTCATCCACCAGCGCGCCGTCTTCCTCGTCTGGCACCGGTACTACGTGTCGGTGTTCGAGTCCATCATGCGCGAGGAGTGCGCCTTCGACCGCGCCTTCCCGTGGTGGGACGAGACCCTCGACGCCGGCAAGTTCGCCCAGTCCGACATCTTCACCGACCCGTACTTCGGCCCCCTGCCCGCCAAGACGTCCGACGGCCAGGGCACCTGCATCCAGTCCGGCACCTTCGGCGGCACGACGCTGCACATCGGGCCCGGCAGCGCGTTCACGGCGCACTGCCTCGCGCGCGCCGTCGACGAGAGCCTGACGGGCACGGTCACCGCGTCCTTCGTCTCGGACTGCAACTCGCGCACCTCGTACGACGACATGCGCGGGTGCCAGGAGCTGGGCCCGCACGCGTACGGGCACAACGGCGTCGGCGCCGTCATGGCCGAGGTCCAGGCCTCGCCCGGCGACCCCATCTTCTTCATGCACCACCTGTTCGTCGACCACTCGTTCCGCATCTGGCAGAACGGCGACGCCTCGCGCACCCAGAGCATTAATGGTTGTGCCGACGCGAATAACCCGTGCACCCCGATCACGATGGACTACGTCCTCACCTCCAACGGGCTGCGGCCCAACACCACCGTCAGCCAGGTCATGGACACGCTCGGCGGCTACCTGTGCTACCGGTACGACTACTAGTTTTTCGCTCGCCCAATAGAACTTAGAACGTTCCTTATTATTTACGATTGGTCATCTCGGAGATTCTATCAATAAACGATGACACCAAATTCTTTTCGTCGTACTTATTTACCCTCTTATTGGATAAAAGGCGTTGGGTGGTGGGGGCTATTTATTAGGGGGCCTCCTGGATGAAATGTGCAAAAAAGAAGAGCGGCTTTCGACTTGGGCCTATCTAATGACGATACCTTGATAGAGAGAAGCCCACGAGTACAATCCTTATTACCTAATTATACCCAGCGACAAGTTCAGTACATAGAGACGCTATCAGTATATTCTCAATTGAAGAAAATTTCACTTCTATTTGTTTAGATTCGCAATGGCTATCCTTGAGTTCTTGTGATGTTCGTCGTTGCATTTAACATGTCGGCTGTAGTAAAACCTGGATACATACATAAAGAGGCGCCTGTCGTCCAGGTTTTTGGGTCTTTGTTTGCCTGCATCCTGCCCCCGAATGTAACCCACCACCTTGGTAAGTATTCGCGTCCGATAATAAACTTGAAACAAAGACGCCAATCTTGTTTCTATTTTCATCGTAGCGTTGGAGGAGCAGTGAATAGTTCGTATCTTGTATCTAAAATAATAGCTCGCGTCAACTTAGCTATCTAGGAGCCGCATCCTTCGAATACAACTAGTAAGCCTCCTATTGATAACTACCTGCCTATTAATGTAGCTTCTTCTCGCAAGATTTAGCAATCGCAGATTTGGCAGCTCATTTATGAAACAATTCCCCTTCAAATCATACCTACTCGTCTACTTAAATAAGCTACATGTCGCTGTGCTTCTTTCGATTTCAATGTAAATTCTCATGGCTAACTCGTCGATTATGACATACAAAGAATACCTATTTTATACACCCATATTGATTTATCTAAGCACCTAAGTATCCTTGTGAGTCTTAGAGATGCATTTTCTAGCATTGGTTTACTATCTCTTCCGCTACCGTGGTTAAACTCATTAAGGCGAGAACCAGCCCCTTAAATAGAACAGTGAACCAATTACGAGGGCATAAATGAGGGCTTGATCATACACCTGACATGCCAAAAAGACAATCGTTCTCCGTCGGTAACTTAGAAGAGATCTATAGGTATCAGTACTACTTAAGCTTATTACTGTAAATGGTAAAGGTGGAAGATGAAAGATCTTGATACATCTGGAGACTGTCTCTCTAACTTACCACTGAGAATAACTCACATCGGAACGTATCTCAAGACTCCAGAGTGGTTTTAATTTCGATATTAGGTATATTCTAGAGAGAAATTTTGTCAGACTTTTGATAGTCTGCCGTGCTTTTTTAGCAGATAGGACATCCTAAACGAGGCACTACCTACGTAAGGGTCAATATCGTTATATACGCCCATGATATGAGAATTAATAATTCGCTTCGTGGAGTCGCTTGGAGGACTAGAAGGATAGCAGTCACCTTGTTGGCTCTTGTCATGTAGGTATCTAGCGCGTACCTACCTACCTAGGTAGGTACGCTCCCAACTCGCTGTCCTCCCCATTCTGACTGATTGCCTCTAGTACCTACCTATGCTTTATGTCACTTAGACTTCCAAGATACGAAGAAATTCATCTGACCATTGGCCGTCCCCTATTGTCTCGAAGATTTCATAACTGGTTATGATTTGAAACCGCCTCGCTATTTGACAGATTTCAACACTTGTGCTACAGGAGGAAGTGCTAATCGTAAGAACATCAATAGGCCTTCATAATGATATATTCCATTCAAAGTTAGGTCTGTTAGAGGGCTAATATTTAATAACGAGACCCTGACGTTCGAATCCAAGATGGGAGTCATCAAAAGAACCTTGACTGATATAGCCATATTCAAGGACCGCTAGAATTACTGACGCGTAGGATATGGATTTTCCAGTGCAGTGCTACTCCAAACACTTAGAAATTAAGACTAGGACCGTGAGTTTAGGATCTCAATGAACAGTTGTATGTACTAACAGCGGATACTAAGCAGTTTAGTTGGGTTCGAATGTGCCGTGGTTAATAGATATTGTTGCTGAATGTAGAAGATTCAACTTAACGATAAGTGATCATAATCCTATGATGGCTGAGTGCTAGTCACTGGAGAATGATATGTGAAACTCCGCCGTATTCATTGGCAGTCTTCCTTCAAGATATAAATTCAGCGACTCACATCCCTCGGTATAATTCAGGTAACACAAAGCATGACATTAACTCCTCAAAGTATGCACAGGTCTACGAACCAGAATTCCCAGCCCCCTTAGCCGATATCTATCAATCCTTATACTCCATCCTGGACCTTTCTCGATCACATGCTTTCTTTTCCTTTTATTCATCGCTTCGTCATATCCCATAGATCCTCTCCAGTAACCCGAGGCACAAAATTTGACCATAGTTGCTTTCCACGTCCCTACCGAGAGACAATCTTAATTAGACTTAGACGAGGCTTAATCGTTGTGCTTTTCATTTCAACAATCCCAACGCACTACCGGAGGGGGCAGCCGCGCTAGTAGCGGCTTTCACGCTCTCGAAAACGCCCGACAAAGCACGACCAACCTCGTTGCTCAACATTGGCCTCGCATCTGGTCCAACTTTGCTGTCCACACCATGGCTATGCGCACTACTGACTTTGGTCAGCTCGTTCACGAAGCTTTGGCCCCACCATGCTGATGTATATTTGAAGACATATCTCTCTAACTTGCGGAAATTTGCTTCCCGCATCTCAGGAGACATCGTTACCGCATCGTGGATCGCATTAGCCAATTCTTCGGTGTTCCAGGGGTTGACGATCAAGCTTCCATTCAGCGATTGGGCAGCTCCGGTGAATTCAGAGAGGATCATCACGCCATGTCGGTTCTGTTGAGTGGCGATGTACTCATACGACACGAGATTCATGCCATCTCGGGTTGAGCTCACGAGACAGACATCCGAGACAGCGTACAAGGCACAGAGTTCGTCAAATTGGACGCTCTGGTGTAAGAAGTGGATAGGCATGAATTCGACAGTTCCGAATCTACCATTGATTCTTCCAACGAGCTCGTTAACGACCGCTCTGAGGTTCTGATATTCTTCGACGTCTTGCCTGGATGGTACCGCAACCTGTACGAGTACAATCTTGCCGATCCACTCGGGATGTTCCGTTAGAAACACCTCGAGCGCGTGTAGCTTCTGCGGGACACCTTTGATGTAATCGAGGCGATCGACACCGACGATCAACTTCACACCCTCGAATTTGCGAGACAGCGACGCAATTCGTTCCTGAACATTCGGCTTCTTCAGGCCCTCAACAAATTTATCAGGATCTATTCCAATTGGGAATGCGCCCACCGTTACAAACCGTCCCCTGTATTCGACGCCGTTCGGCGTGGTCGGTGCCTCTAGAATGCGTGAGCATGAGCTGAGGAAATGTCGAGCATAATCGTAGGTGTGGAAGCCAATCAAGTCGCACTGCAGAAGGCCCTCGAGCAAGGCTTCACGGACGGGGAGGATACGATAGATCTCGCTACTAGGGAAGGGAGTGTGGAGAAAGAAGCCGATCTTTACGTCCTTTTTATCTCCCAACTCGTTACGCAGCATTTCGGGGAGGAGCATTAGATGGTAATCGTGGACCCAGATGAGATCTCCGTCTTGGACATCTTTCAGAACAGTCTTCGCGAAGAGCATGTTGACTTCCTTATAGGCTGCCCAAGCGATCTCATCGAAGGTGATCTCGCCAGGATGGTAGTGGAATAAGGGCCAAAGGATTGAGTCTAATTAGCAGAATCATTAGCTAAAAGCACAACCTTAGATAGTGAAAAAAAAAAGGGGGGTGCGCACTGGAGAAGCCGTTGTAATGCCTATCTGCAAGTTCATCATCGACAAAAATAGGGTGGGCGTTGTATTGATCTTTTAGCTGTTGCTTTACGGTGGGTATTTCGGCTTCGGGAACTTCCAGACCAGGCCAGCCGTACCATTGGAAGCTTGTCGTCTTGCTCAAACCACTCAACCCGGTGACAAGACCTCCGGATGACATGGAGAAGCTGTAGCTTCCTTCCTCTTTTCGTTTTATCGTGATAGGAAGTCGGTTAGAGATCAAGAGCAACCGGCGGTCGCTGGTAGAAGAAGACTCGCCCCAGTCGGTGGAGCCCATGTTGTCGGTCTTGGTCTTGATATTCTAAATCTGAACGGTTGAAGGTTTATTAAACCTAGCCTAGCTAATCGCGATGGTGAAGAACGGGTTTCGTCGATTTCGTCGATTTAACTGCGTTAGGTTGATCGAGATGGAATATGAAGGAGATGTCCGCAGTGGAAGATGGGAAGCTTTGTAGAGAGAAAGGTCTGGATTCGGCTGCGGCAATGAAACGTTGATGTGTGAAGATTTTCCAAGAGCGAAAAGAAAAGTACGAAGTGATGCAACACAAGAGAAAGACAGCACGGGCCGTGCGTAGTAGTTATGATTCGCTCAAATGTTCTAGTGGCGTTGAATTAATACGTGATTGATTGATTGATTGACCGAGTTGAACGGTAGTGAGTACTACCAACCTGTGATAGGAAGTAAGGAGTACCTAAAGGGGTAGGGAGTACGAAGAAATAAATAATTAAGTCGAATGTTTGAATGCTATTATATGTAGGTAATCGTTTACACCTTCGGGCGCGGTTTCTGGTTGGGCGATATATTATTGTTTGATGCAATCGCGATGCAAAAGCAGCGAAATCCCTCAAGAAATCAGAAAGAGCTAGCCCCGCCGGGCCAGAACTAGCCCCTCTGCCCCTCCAAGGAGCTTTGATCCGTTTCGATGTTTCTTAACCCTTTTGACCAACTACGTAATCTCTTGTCCTATTTAAAGCGGACCTCTGCGGGGATCTTCGGGTATCCAAAAGTCAGGCTGAAGTTGGTACAGTACCACCTTAATAGCATTCAGAGCATCCATTAGCTCCCGCCAACGAACCACCTTTTTCTCCATTCCACCACGCTACTGGACAATGTATGTTTTGTCTGCGTCATGTCATTAGACATCAGGTCACGATATATTGTGTAGGTAACGAGTCTCAACGATAGCTTAATAAATAGAGACATCTCCGTGAAAGTTGCGACCTTACAAATAAAACGCTCATACACTCAATTCAATATACTATGTTCCGCTTAACGATGGATGGGCCCCTTGTCGGCGTTGGGCAGATAGGACCGATTGCTTCGATTTGGCTTTTCGACGCAGCTGGAACTTGGAGGAAGCATACTTCGCGTACCAAAGGAACTGAGATTGGTCAAGTTCCACCTAACTAGGTAGGTACCTATATAAGACTCAATGGGTTTCTACGTAGGTAATCTGCAGGACAAGATACACGAACATAATTCATCTGACAATTTAGTACGACATAAATGCATGGGTAAGTGGAAACTCTTTCATTACGCGGTTCAGACAGCTTTCCATTTGAGTACCTGGTCTCGCTTCAACTTATTCCATGTGACACTAAGTATCAACTACCGTTCTACCTGGTAATAATTGACCAATGATACATGGCTTGTGCACGATATCTGTGAGCTTTTTCGGTCATGTCGAAAGATATTTCTAGCAATTTCTAAGCCAGATTCGGTTTCGTCCCTAGGTATGTATGTATCTGAGCTAATGATGTTTCTCGAAAGTACCAAGAAACTACCAAGCCTGCAAGCTCGACGATTTTCGCTTGAACCAACCGAAATGCATCATGCATAAAGTTAAGTGCCAAAGTACCTATGTACCTACTATGAATACAAAACGATCTAACCTAATATTAGTTAAGCTCGCCAATCCTGACCACCAATCATATTTTAGTTTCCAACCCAATCGAGTGAATTCTACGTTCTCCGGACCTTTTCGGACCAAAATGTCCGTCTTTGCAACCATCCATATGATAAACAAATCTCTCTCGAATTCTTCAACATGCATACGTACCTATATATACTGACGTCAAGGAAAGCTATTTGAGGATCAGACACGGCTTCTTGTCATTTATCATAGTGAGATCACGTGCCCTGCACTCTCTTCAAATAGGGGTAGAATACATATTCACGTGATTCCCCCTTTTCTCATCACCAGCGAATTATTTATGATGCATTTCTAACACAGATATATACGAGATGTAAGGCATTTTCAATTTAGAAGATAATGATATATTTGTCAAACGTATGGAGTAAATAGGGAATCTCTCAACACTCGGTGGTCTCCGAAAATGGATATCTGTATTTGTTTCCAATCGGATAACACTGAAACACTCTTCCGATTCCTTCCTAGAATCTTTGAATTTCGGCTTATAAGTTTAGACCCGGACATATATTCGGAGCTCTAAAGGACTTGAAAAAAGAATTGTTAATGGTGATCCATGTCACGAGGTAGAACTAAGGAAAAGGGAAATAACGAAGTGGTTACGCAAGAAACTTTAAACTCTCTAGTCTTGGGGCTGTAGTCATATCTTAAGTAACGTGTCTTTCCAAAGAACAACGTTTAGCTACCCATACACTTGGCTCCCCTACCAATCCCCTCTTAACTCCATCTTCTACCCTTTTAGATTTTTACAAGCCGATGACGTGGATAAGCGAACAGAATACGAATCAAGTCAGTTTGGAAATATTCATGGTGCTGTGGTACAAGGACCGCTACGGAGACATACAGCGGCTACACCAACGATGAATTACCCCCCTCTCAATTAGCTGTTCCTCAGCAACGCCGTCCTCAAGGCCAACGGCGTCACACTAACCGCCCTACCATCCTCCCCGAGCGTAAACACAAACTGATCTAACGGCATATCCGCATAAACCGCCGCCGTCTGGCTAACCCAAGTCCCGCAATTCGTCGAGAACATCGCGCTGCTGTGGTCCGTCAGATCCAAGTTCTCGACCACGGCCTTGAACGCGATCTTCCTCGTCCCGTCCGCCGCCGCCGCGGACTCGAGGCCCGTGGGGTAGATGCGGATCGACGGGGCCGTGACGTTGTAGTTCAGCGTGTACCGCACCGCGACGGGGATCATGTCCGTGCCGTTGCTGACCCACCTATCGACCCCCAGCCCCGGCCGCGCCGCGTCCGTGCTGAGCACCAGCGTGCTATTCAGGTCCGCGTCCCCGGCCGCCGTGTAAATGCCCGCGTAGTTCGCGTCGGCCTCCTCGCGCGCGGCGTCTTCGAGCGCCGGGAGCAGCGCGCGCCCGATGTTGTCCGCGATGTCCCAGTTCGCGTTGCCCGGCCAGCCCCCGGCTAGGAGCGCGCTGATCCCGACGTCGTAGTCCGGGAGAAGCACGAGGAGCGACATGTACACGTTGATGCTGCCGGCCTTGCTGTACGCGTCGACGACCCGGCTCCCGTCGCTCAGGGGGATGCGCCGGATTCCCCACGGCGAACTAACGCCCTCGTGGATGTCGGACGTGAGGGCTGTGGGCTTGAGCCATCGCCGCGTCTGTGCTGGGGCGAGTAAGGTGTGCCTGAATATGGCGCGGCCGAGGCGCGAGAGGTCGCTTGCGGAAGAGTACATGTTTCCGGTTCTTTGGTGTGGTGTTAGCGTCTGAACACCAATTTACTTTGAAATCCTAAGAGGGTGAGTGGAAAGGGAGAAACGTACGGGCTCGCTTCGCCAATGCTGTACGACCAGTCGTCCTCGTGGCCTTCCGGTATGACGCCTAAGGAATCGTCGTCAGGCTTCTGGTAGAACGTGTGTTGGAGCTCGAGTTTATCGATGATGTCGCTTTGTAGCATCGGCGCGAACTGCTTTTGCGTGATGGCTTCGAGCGCATACGACAGGATCTGGTAGCCCATATTTGAGTACCCGGCCGTCCACGAAGGAGAGAATGATGGCGGCACGTTGGATAAACCAGTAAAGAACTCTGTTAGCCGTTTTCAGTTAGAAATATTGTCGTTTCCTATTCCTAACCCTTTCAGCCACTTTCGCCCCGTCCCCGCGGATTAATGATATTTTCAATGTGTTTTGAATACCACTTACCAGCGCGAGGACATTTTATCATTTCACCACAGGTAGGAGTTTCGTTCCGGGGTGCTGGCGGAAAGCCTTTGGCTTCGAGTACAGTTTGGTTGTTCTCTTGCGTCAATTCCCCTTCGATGGCATCTAGCAATTTAATTTCATAATCTTAGCCCAGCTAATTTCGACTTTACATCTTTATTTCAGCCCAACTTTACTATTCCTTTTCAATCAAAGCATAAACTTAAAGTACTCACAATCTCTCACAATTCCAGCCAGATGGCTTGCCAGGTCCTGCAGCGTAATGGTTTCCCACTCCACGTTCATAACGGGATCGTATTGGGCTTTCCCGGCCAACAGCTCTAGTTCTGGGACCCATTGTGTTACCGGGGTGTTCCAGTACGTGTCTCCGGCCTCAATCAGAAACGTTAATATCGTGAATATTTTCGTAACGCTACCGAGTCGGTACACGGTGTCGCCATCGACGCTCTTCACACCCGGAGTATTAGCCGTCAGGAGATCAGTCGCGGTGTGATAGTGGCTCCAGAGTGGCGTGTCCTCGTCCGCATCAGAAGCCGAGAATACTTGGATGGACCAGGACGTGCTGTTGGGGTTGGCCGCCGGGTCCGTACCGCGCGCGTTGAACGTCGTCGTTAGGTTCGCAATGGCGGTCTTTATCGCGTCGGACGAGGCCAGCGACCTCGGCTTCGGGAACGCTGGTCCCGGGTACGGACAGTTGGGGATCCCGCCCGTCGGGGTGATCAAGGCTTGCGCGGCGAGCAGCAGCAGCGCCGTTGCGGAGGGATGCGACTTCATAGCGACGAAGCTAGTACCCTCTAATTGGACTGAGGAGTAAAACTATTACCTAAGAAGGTACGAATGAGAAGGAAGGGGACGTCTTAAGGGAGCGAGCGTATATCAGCCTGCTGGAAGCAGACGCGTCACCAGAAGCCACGAGTTAGGATCATCCTAAGATTTTTTCTTTTTCGTTTGATCCTCGGCCCCAAGTAAGGTAGGATTGGGATTTCTACGTCTGGGCATACGTCTTGGGTCCCGGGAGTCAAGCTTATATTACGACTTTGGGAACTTCCGAGTCCTGCGTGTAACCTGTCTATTCACCCGGGCACGTGGGCTTGTGGACGCATGTGCTGTTAGGGGCTCGGTCCACATGGATGGACAGCTTCCCCAATCTCTACGTGTTGATATTTGATTTACGGTGGCATTTTCTTAGATGTTTATTCTTGGAAGATATCACGGACCTTGCTATCGCCTCTTCATATGGCCGAGAAATCTGACTTAGCTATCTACTTTCACATTATAGTCTAATTTTCTTTTGACGATAAATATTTCTATACTTCGGTATATCTATGAACATTAGAACAACTTAGGTTACTCGCTAATTAAGAGGAGGCCACCTAGACACTTAGTCAACCACCGTACATGCTTCAATAAACGGTTCAATCGATTTCACCTACCTCTTCAGTACGCGGGGGCTTCACCATCAAGCTATTCTGGGTATAAGTACCTAGGTGGGGTCACCGTGGCTTTAATGGGGAGACACGATATACGACGTTCCAGGATCGACGAAGCCGGGACCGAGTGTCCTAATGCGTAGAATGACGCGATACCGAGATTTTTCGTAATAGAAGCGCAATGCAAACTTTGGTTCAGCAGATTGAGGGTCACTTTCAACTAAAGTAGGTATAATCTCCAAATCCCCAAATCCGCATACCCAGGTCGTGTAATAAAAAGGGGCATATAAAAATCGACCCGAAGCAGGTTCACACGTTTCAAGACACCACGTTCTCATCACATTAGTCCGAAAAGACACGCAGGAGACCGTGCGGGCCATCGTAATCTGCTGCTACTATTCGGTAGGTCGATAGTACCTACGTCGCATGGTTGCAACGTTGACCTTTTGCCTGAATGTAGGGCTGTCCGATCATTTACGGCATTGGGCCGGTTCGAAGGAGCGCTTTTTATATCAACCGCATCGCGCACCACGGTATTACGGACGTAAAGTGCCACCTACAAACCTAGTCTCGAGCCTACCGATAATGTAGGTACCTAGCAACATGGTAATTTCGAGTCGCGCGGGCGGCAGGATGAGGTTACGTGCGGTAGCGCCAAGGTGTCCGAAAAGCGTGTCTGTATATTACCTGCATCAGCGTTGAACTTTTTATCTTGGGAAGTATTTATATACAGTATTTGGCCCAGTATGCCATCCCACCGCTGATGCTACGTACGTCGTTGTGATGACGTCGAGCATTAGACCTCATATAAGTAAATCGCCGAGCGAGCCTCCTAGCCGGGTGTAAGCTATCTGATTACCTATATTATCCCACTTATCTTAACGTGGATGGGCCACGTATATATTACCGTACCGACCTCCTAAGACTTACGTCTTCTTTCGCTTATGCCTAGTGACGGATGGTGACACGATATGCTGATTTCTCATGATTCCTTTGGACCTGATCGAAAGAAAATGGCTCGTGAGAATCAGATGATAGATGGTAGATATATGATAGCGAATGGGTTCATTTCCTAATGATGGTACTGCCGAGATGGGTGACGAACAGCCTCCTCGCCTTGAAAAAGGGGGACGTTACACAGCATATTCGGCTTTACGGGTAGCCATCAAAATACAATCACATATAAAAGATGGCAGCTAAGTACTTATGCAGTTGAATTAGTATCGAGACGTTCTTATCGCGAGGTCATGCACATCTTTAATTAACCGAAATACTGTCAGAGTGCATGGTCTAATATCCTTAACCTACTTCACTAGACAAAATAGACATTTCTAAATGAGGTACATTACTATCTAACTACCTAGGTAGGCGAAATGATCCATCGCACACTCGAAAAAACAGGTATCTTGCCCTAAGCCAAAGTGGCTGGCCCCATGAAGAATGAGTCAACACCGGTTCCCGTCCATCCCTGAACGCCGGCGGGGGTATGTAGTGTAGGAAAAGAAAAGTGCGGGTTCGTCCCTAACACTGGAAAATAAGACGTAATCTCATGAAAGCAAATAGCACAATCGCCCATCCATTCGTTTCGTCGGTAGAAGTTGTGTCCCTAGCGGTCTAGTATGGAGAGTTTACGACGTCGTCCTTGCCAAGCTTGTACCGTCCGCTCTGTCGTGTGCTAATTCGTGCGGAGCTTCGTCTCGGTTGGAAGTCGCCGGCGATACTCTCTCTCGTAGGTCTCTTAAGATGTTGTTTTCCAACCATGTTCACCCAGTTAGGCAAGGTGACGATGACGTTTTGGTCGGTACCAAACTTGAAATCGTCGGCCTTAACGTTGTCTTCGTAGCGCTTGATGATATAAGGTGATTTAGAGCCACGAATGACCTTTTCAAGGTTCCAGTCAATGATGTATGGGCCAGTTGCGGTAATGATGGATGTCTCCTCATTCGTCTTGCTCGTGTTGAATCGTGCTGGAGTGAATGAGACAGGCTTCCCCGTTTCATGGTGGAATTGAGCAACATGCTCAGGAGTCAATGCAAGACGACGTGGTTGAGGTTTAGAATCGGCGGCGAACGGCTTTTCGAAGCCTAGCTTGCCTTCGTTTTTACCCGACTTCTGCAGCGCGTCGATGAGTAGTAGGTATGTGCGACAAGTTCCAAGCACCCAACGGCCATCTGCCGACACATCAAGACCAATGATGGGTTCGCCGAGAGCTGGGATGACGGTCTTCGCGTTGATACCTAGACGATCGAAAAGTCTAATATCGCCCTTGTTGGAGGCCACCGCAACATAACCTTTCTCTGTGGTAGATACCGAGGAGAAGTCGTTCTTCGATACATACTGCTTCAACTGGGAGTCGACAAGCTTGTTGCCAGATATACGCGGATCAACGCGGAATAGTGCATTGCGAGAAATACCTAAGAATGTCGGCTCATGCGTCATCTGTGCGAATTTGTTCTCGGGTGCAAATGTGACGACTGGAATGTCATCGTGGACTTTCCACTCGTCAACTACCTTGCCATACTCGAGATCCATGCGATACAGTTTGTTGGGGTCCGTATCGTTCTGCAAGATCAGATTGCGATCTTCATTGTGCAACATGACTTTCTTAGGAACGAAAGAAGCGCCCTTTGGAGTCTCAACTTTGGAAATATTGGTCGTGAACTCCAGGTGATTCTTGGGCGTATGTTTGAATACTCCAATCTTAGGACCTCGGACGACAAAAGAGCGATCGTGTTTATAACCAACAGCTAATGCGGAGTTGGTGTAGGGGTCTTTTGGACCAGTCTCGACATCTTCTTCCTCCTCGTCGCTGTCGTAGTGTTCGCTCCGCGGCGCATCGTCCTCCGCTTCCTCCTCTTCAGGCTCAGGTTCTTCTTCCTCCTCTTCTTCTTCAATTGGTGCATCTTCCATGTTTAGATCCTCAAAGGCATCCAAGACGTACTGGCGGTCTTGTTCCTTCACTTTAGTCCACTTGACTTCATTCAACTGTTCCCAGAGTGCTCTCATCAGACCATCTTGGAATCTCTCTAGTGTCTTATTGTCCTTGAAGCGCAACAACCAGGAATAAGCAGAGCCGTCGTCTGTGAATTGGTTGAAGATAAAGGAGAGGAATTCAAAGTTGAAGACCGGGTTGATGTCAGCAATGACTGGAATACCAAGCCACTGCCGGTCTTTGCTGGCAATGTGTAGCCAGTAATTCCAATTACCAATGTCTGACACCTGAGCTGTGACAGACGAGTCCTGAAGGACGAAGGCCCCCGAGGGGAAGTCGAAGAAGTGGAGCTCGCCGATCTCCATAGACAAGATCTCAACCGGTTCAGGCTGGGTCGGTGGTTTTGGGGGCTCCTTCTGCTTAGAAGGCTTTGTATCAACTTCCTCTTCTTCGTAGACTTCTGGCTCCGGTTCTGCGAGTACAGACGAGGTAGACGGGAAACTATCCCTCTTGGCGCTAACGTTTGCTTCGTTCTTTAACTGGAACATAGCGTCGGAGGATTCAATGGATCGTGATAGAGTTGGGCTATGAATAGGACTGGCCTGAGGAATGGGTTGCTCTTCGAAATCGAATTGTTCAAGATCGGCTTCGGAGGCAGTAGAATGCGGTTTTCGGTACTTGCGCTCGTATTGGCACTGTTTTGCGATGCGTTCGAATGCTCCGACTTGCGCCGATTTGATTGAAGGGTCACAGACAAACTCGTAGACGTCCCCGACGTCTCCGCTCAAATCCTTCCAGGCAAGTACGTTCTGCGATCCTTCTCTAATCTCAACGCGGAAGTGAAGGGCCTCGTCAAGAAGGAATGTCTTCTCGTCCTTCTCAGCGGCTAAGGCGTTCAGTTCTTCGTCTTCACCTTCCTCGTCCGCCAACTCAGCCTCGCCTTCTTCGTAAACTCGCTGTATGACAAGTTGATATTGGAAGTCTTGACCGGTTCGACGTATACGAGCAGTGGCGTCCTTGAAGATGAGTTCGGAATATCCTTTTGGCGATAAGGGTCGGACTAGGTAGAGTTGGCCCTGAGGCAGCTCGATCATGGACTCTTGGCTACTAGTGCCGAAGATAAACTTGCCAACTGTTTCGTTTATGTTAGCAATCTATTCGTGCCATTCGTATCTTAACTAACTGTAAAGAAATCTTGGATGTGATCGTAGACATGGTTTTGAAATTGATTCATATTGATACCATTCTAGAAGCAAAGGTTCTAGACAGCATTCTAGACTTTGCCAGAGCGCTGTTTTCAGACAAGGCTGGCGACGAGGGGCAAATATTTACCATTTTTGAGGACAAACATCTTGTCCGAAGTGAGGCTTTGCCTTCAAAGGGACCGCAGCCGATAGAAAATAAAGTATGATGGCTGTGGAGGAAGAATGTGCATGTAAAGAGGTAAAGGGAGAGAACCCAATTTGTATGAAACAGGGATCTCGTCGCGCTTGCTAGTCAACACCAGACCTTGTATTCCCTGGGCTTTTTGGTGATGGTGGGAAAGTCTAAAACTGCGTCATAACAAGGCAATCTTACTTTCTTGCTTTCTTTCTTTGCCTGGGTAACAGGCAGATACTACCTAGGGCTTTAAGGTGGGGGTAAGTGGCGTTGTAAGAGCTGTGGCGTCAATATGATTAGGCAGCATCTGGCTTTAATGCATTAGCCCGTTTATGCCAAGGCTACAATGGGTAGCGTAACAATTTGGAAGTTGCGCTTTTGTCACTATTGAGGTAATCACGGGTAGTTGCATTTACCGCGTAGCTTCAACCAATTACGTATTTAATCACATAGTAAATACAGCATGTGACAATTACATAAGACAAGGATGTGTAGCCCGGGATCACATTTCACGATGAGAATCTCCAACCAGATGTAGATAATTAGAGCATCAAGTGGCTGCTCATTCAACATTCATGTTCTTCCTCATTATACCTAATACAAATAACTAAGAGTATCATACCATTTCTGCATCAACTCAACACTCAATCCCACCCCGATTACCTCCTCTCCCTTTTCCAGCTTCTTCGAAGCCCCCTCCATGAACTCTTCTAACGAGAGAGTATTAGGGTTGTTTTTCCTTGGAATCATCGTCAGGGTTTTCGCCTTCGCGGCGAGAGTCAGTTGAGACAGTCGGTGGAACAATCTCGACAACTCGTACCGGCGTATCTTTGAGCTGTGATCTCAGTGCCATCGAAAAGAGGCGGCGGAATCTCTTAGTGCCATTGTATGTATACCGGGTTGATGATCGAGAATGACACGAATCCCAGCATACTAGTTAGGTTCCCTAATAATGAGAGCATGTGTTTGGATCTCAAGTAAGGCAACAGCCCAACCGCGAGATGCAACGCACTGCGAATATTGACGTTGATCTCATTTTCAGCCATTGAAAGGAAGTCTTCGGAGCTTATCGCCGATCACATTAATATCTGTAAGACTCGGAGATGTTCTAAGTCGATATTAGTAATTGCCATGGATGAGAGCGAGCTACAGATTCCAGCTCATCACCTTAGCAGTCATAGTAGAGTACCCTTAGCAACCCACTAACACCACTCGTCGCCAGCATGATGGAGGAAAAGATACACCATAAGATGCATTTCTCAGGTAACCATCCTTAGGCGATAGCGATATGTATGCAACAGCTTGCTGGAGAGCGATCCTACCTTAGGGTTGCTTCGAGGTATGTTTCATTATCTCGATTGTTATATTCTTATCCCTTTGAATTGTACGGTAACGGTTTATTAGATGTAAGTTTAAGTAGAGAATTCCGACCGTTCGTGGTGATGAATAAGCATCCATTTCTTATAAGGTTGAGGGGCCGGAGGCGCTGAATAAAGGCGGGCAATAGATCTAAAACGACTGAATATTACTTAATTTAAGAAGTTTACGATATCTTCCTTAGATAGCGACCCCGAGTATGGAGTTTGCTAGAACATCACAATTATATTTTGGTGTGCTTCTTCTGCGAACTTGATGTCGTTGAAGAAACGTAGTCTGTCTCAGATATGCTCTATCTTTGTAGTAATGGACTTTGACTCTTGTTATAGGCCGATTTGTTAATGCCCAAACTTCCTGTGCGTATCGTATATCAAAGCATAAGTCGTGTATTGATTGCCGCCAACCTTGACCGCCAACTTTAGTTACTTCTACCTTTCGTAGGGCTGCTTAAGCGATCTGCAGTGAGCGTCGCAACAGGATCAATGTCCCTTATGCCGTGCTGTGGCGCAGCTAAGTTACGGGGGAAATACATATTCTAAGCTTCGATTCTCTAATGCACGTAAGCTGCAGTCCTTTGTTCTGAGATACCCACAAATAGCCAGGACTTCGTATGATCCGTAGCAAGTGATAGTTTATCATGGCCGCGTATCACAAGGTATGGCCTTAAGAGCAGCGCCCTCCCTCCCTTACTGCTTTAGCGTACACCTTACCATCTATATCTGCTCAACTGGAAAACAAGGGAAAATAATACAGGGCCACATAAGAACAATAAGAAAACCCAAACCAAAATGGCACGGAATACAGCAGAAACTCTCACGGCGCTTGAGGAGTATTTAGCCAAGAGCCAACCTAGCATCAAGATCATCACACCGTCGAGTCCCGAATTCGAGGGCGTGCGCGCGTGCTTCGTAAAACGAGACGATGCCGTGCCGATCGCCATCGTGCGCCCGCAGACCGCCGCTGACGTCCAGGCCTTGGTGAAGTACTGCGTTGAGAACGACGTCGACTTCGTTGTCCGCAGCGGTGGTCACGATTGCGCGGGGCGAAGCCAGGTCCGTGGCGCCCTAACGATCGACTTGCGCGATATTAATTATGTGCGCGTCAGCGAGGGCGAGAAGACGGCGAGTGTGGGCGGAGGCATCATCTTCAGGGACCTTACGAAGGAACTAGATGCGAGAGGACTGGTTACGCCGGTGGGCACGGTTGCGAGCGTTGGATACGTCGGCTGGGCTACTCTCGGTGGTTACGGCCCGTTTTCGTCGAGTCACGGTTTGGGTGTTGACCAAATTGTGGGGGCTAAGGTCGTGAATGCGAAGGGCGAGCTCATTGACGCAGGGGACGAGCTATTGAAGGGTATCCGGGGAGGTGGTGGGATATTCGGCGTTATTGCCGAGTTGACAATCAAGATTTATCCTCTAAAAGAGATGCTCGTATCTCTTCTGATCTTCGATTCGAGCGACCTGAAGACGGCCTGGACGAATTACAGCAACGGGTACGAGAAACTAGCTGCGGAGCAGCCCCTTCCAAGGGCTCTCCAGCTCCAGCTCTTCGGCATAGAACTCCCTAATCTCGGAAAAGTCTTTGCCGTAGGTACTACTTGGACGGCGGCCGACCACGAAGAAGGCAAGAAGTGGATTAACAAAATCGCTGCTCTGGGCCCTTGCCTGATGAACAATCCTGAGCCGCGGTCCGTCTCGGCGTACTGCGCATTTAACGAGACGCTACTTACCTACGGTAGCTACGGGCGGGCATACACTTTGAATGTTAAGAAATACACTCCGGAGTTGGCGGAGGTCCTGGCCAAGTACACGTCCTCGATCCCGGGTGGCGGTATTGCGCTCTCCCTCCACATGTTACGAGCTCCAGAGGCGAGCGAGCACTCCGTCTTCGGATCTCGAGTCGAGCACCATATGCTAGAGCTTGTGTCGACGACGCCAGTGAAAGACCTGGAGGTTAAAGGCGCGGAGTGGGCAGCCGCGTTGACGGGCGAAATCAGGGAGGCCGACTCAGAAAACGTGATGGAGTCATCGTATGTGTCGTTGTTGGATAATGACGACTCGGACTTTACGAAGATCTACGGGGCGCATTATAATACATTGGTGGCGCTGAAGAAAAAGTACGACCCGGATAATGTATTCAAATATGCTGTTCCTCGGTTATCAGTGTGATGGTCGGATTGCTTCTGAATAAGGCGGCCATGGGTAGATTTAGAGCATCATTGTTTCTTGGTCGAAAAGGAATAAACATAGATAGATGGAAAATCCTCAAAAGGATAGAGAACTACCCATGGGTTGATATTATGATCACTCCTTTCTGAAATATTTGCTTCATGCGTGACTAGGAAATCCATGTATCCAACCGCAATACCCCTCTTGTATTACCATTTTTAGTACCGAGATTGATGAATTTCCTTCGAGAATTCTGCTCACGGCCACCAACATCAAAGGTACTCTATTACCGTTATGTTGATGGCGTAACAAGGAATAAGCTGAGTGTTTGTGATACATTGTAATTTGGTAATAGGTAAAAGCTGGACGATTGGGTAGAAGCATCGTATCATACGACGAACGGGCTTCGATAGATAAAATCGCTCTCTCGACGGTGCGCCAAATGAGCTAAACCGCCAAAGCCTCAAAACTCTCAATTACAATATATAATTACTGTACTAACACTGTATTAACACTGTATTTTTTCGGTGTAGCCCTTGTATTATTAGTGGGCTTAGCGCTATTAGGCCCTATAACTATAAGGGGTTATAGTACGTATCTATAGTGATTGATTTTAACCAATTAAATTTATCGCACTTTAATAATCCTACTGCTCTTCTTAAGCAACAATACCAACAATAAGTACCTATAATTATTTGTTTAAATTGTATAAAATAATATAACGTATATCAAAATGAAGCTCTTCAATTGCTGAATTAATTGATATAATTTTGTTGCTGTATGATTTATATAGGTTTAGCTGTTGCTCAGCTGTTGCTGAGCCTTCGTTGAACTTTCGTTGAGCCTTCGTTCAGCCCTTGTTCAACCTTTGTTGAGCCCTCATCTCTAATTAGAATCAATTATTCTATACCTTTGTTATACTCATTCGAAAGCGCTTTTGAAGCTCTATTTAATGGTATAATCAATTCACTATGGGTCGCGCTCTTTGAGTCGTTATTCTAGTTAAAGTCAATTGTAGAAACGTTTTGAGGCTTTGGCGGTTTAAGTCAAATGGCCCGCCGTCCTCTCATGTGTATGGCCCGTGCGATTCCGGTCAGCTCTATTGCCTGTACCATACCCATTCAGGCTTCGATCATCAGGTATTAATATGGGACTTTTACTAAAGTGGAGGGCGGGACGGATAAGTCGGAATTAAGCTCAATGCCAAGTTTCTGTCTTAAACGCCTTGGTCAGCACCGGAACACTACCTACACTACATATCCCTTCTTATGCTGCGCGGGTAGATTCTCTATTTGATGAAGCCTAGGTAGGCTTGAGTAACCTACATCTGTCGACAACTACCTACCAGGTAACCAAGGTCGTTGCGATACCCCAGGCTACCCTCGTAGGTCACTGTCTGGACAAGCGACTTTTAAATCCTTTCGGACCACTTCTAGGGATGTGATATCACTCAAATCGTGGCATACTAGTCACTGGCCTGGAAATTATAACTGACAATCAAATTCCATGCTTGAATGCAGTATTATGCTAACGTTTACATACAATATGGTACAATATTTGTACAACATCTATAGTCATCCCCATTTACAAAGGAAAAGCTGGCCCTGCAGCTGATTTATTCCATGTCGCCGATATACACTAATCACCCTCAGACTAACTGACATAATGTTGGGCTTTTAGTCCTTTTCGGGCGGCTGCTGAAGTTTCACTTCCACCCTACCATCCATAGTCATGACGGGCTTGGATATTTGATACTTGCCGCCAAGTACTAGGTCCTTCGCAACCAACTCTCTCGTACGGCCTAAACTTTCGATGGCGGCAATTCGGTCCAAGGTATCCTGGAGAAACTCCCGGAATCCAGGTTCGGCGCATATCTCCCTGAACGCGCGATGCATAGGCACGGAACTAGCGCGGACCTGAGCTGTGCTCGTTATGGTGAAGAAGTTCAACCGATCAAAATCTCGGATGAAGTCGGCTCGGGTCATGATTTCTTGGGCCTTGTGCATCCGGTACCACGGCAGGACGTGTCCCGTCTCGGGGTCGTATGTCTGCTCCATCTCCTCTTCCTTGTCAACAAGGGCCAAGGCAAGAACCATAGCCGCGCTCGCCCATTTTTGCTGGTCCATCACATCGTCGTCCATCTCAGATCCGAGGATCCAGCACTGGTTGAGAAACCACGTTTTCTCGCTCTCCTTGATGCGATCGCATGTCCCTAGCATATTGTGGGACTTAGCTACTCGATTTAGGAACGATAATCTACCGCCGACTCGGTCATAGACTGCTTCAAGTAGTGATACGTCAGCTCTTTCGCCAAAGTATCGTAGTCGATATTTCTGCAGCGCTGATATTGCCTGCGCCTTCGGTAAATCCGAGATCGACATCACTTCCATACGCGAAGTAGCCCGCTGAAAGAGTCGCTCATATACCCAATAATCATCACTGTTGAATATCATAGTTACGAGGTTACTCGCCGCCCATTGCTCTGCCCGTTGCTGGAGCAACTCTAACAAGTCCCTCCCGTCCTCATCGTCTCGAATCAGATGTGTCTGGTTGATGATGAGAAGCAGAGGTTTGTTCTTCTTCGCCCGGTGTAACAGTGCTACCTTCTCTAGCTTATTCATCGCTCTTTCAATATCCAGCAGTGCGGTAGATTCTCTCGGCCCGCGCTCGCTGAAGTATCCGCCAATATAGTCCTCATGAAATTCATAATCGAGGGCCTTGCCTAGCCGGATTCTGAAGATCTCCAGATCTGCATGCGCTTCGAACATGGCGCAACCCTCTCCGTCAACCTTCCGCATGGCTTCTATCAACATACTGCTTTTCCCGCTGCCCTTTTCGCCCATAATCAGGTGGTAGTGGCCTTTGTTGGACCCGTTGATGATCGCGTCGATCTTTGCTTGTTCCTCTCGCATAACCCAGTGTTGCTCATTAGGCGGCGCTGGAATATCCTTTCCTACGGCTGCTAACACCAATACTGGGTCTCCTGGTTCGAAAGCGTTTTCTATCTTCTTTAACTGCAGATACTTGTACATCTTATGGTACACGTAACCGGCACCCGCGAAGCCAACTCCCAGTACCAGCACGGAGGCGAGAGTAGTAACCGCAGACTCGCCCATTTTCGAAAATAAAGACTGCTTCTCTTCTCCTACTCCTATATAACCCTCTGGGCCAATCCGATCTCTCGTGACCTTTGTTGTGGAGAATGGCCGTTGTTGTGGGGGCCAAGTCAGCCTCACAGCGCGTGTTGAGGTAGCATTGAACCGTATCCAGCGCGGTGCAGACCGCCTCAAAGAGGCAATCCGACTGCCGGGACCCAGCAGCATTGTATCTTTAAATTAATAATCATGAACCAGAGCCCCGGCGCATGCGAGTAATTCCGATTGCCCGGAGAATTGTGAGTGACGTGACGAGATGCGGCGGCAACAACGGGAAGAAATCGCGGAAATTGCGCTTGCCCCTACCTAGGTGTGATAAAGAGGGCAAAGCCACATTGGCCCTTGACCTCTTTTTGCGGAGCACCCGGAGTGGCGCAGCAGGTCCCGACAGACGGGTTGCCCCCTTGTTGCTTCCTCGCAGATGCGTGTAACGTCGGGTTTGTCCCGTGCATGTACTCAAGTACATCAATCAAGCTTGACATAAAGAAAAAGAGAAAACTTAACTTGCTATTATTAATGAGAAAAATTCTCAGGCTTCAAGAGGGTCGCAGAGCCCAACTTCAGTTCTACAACATCAAAATGATTAAAACCTGAAGAATAGCAGGGGCTATCAATTATGTTTATCTAGATTTTAAACCATGTTTTTGCCCCTTTTACCGTCTCTACAGAGTGACTCAAAACGATGAGTCTCAATATAAACAACGTAAGTAAATCATCAGATGCCTACCTAGTAGTAGGTATTCTAAACAGCTATACACCTGTCTTTCATCAATGGGAATATGTGATTTCTTGCTTCCGTCCCATCTTCCAATAACAGCTCTGAACTAACAGTCGTCCTAGGTGTTGAGTATACAACTTTTGTCACACTGTTTTACAGTGCAATGATTCCAGTGCGTACCTATCTTGGTCTTTGAAACCTACTATGGTACCTGGAGCACCTACGTATTTCAAGGCCGATCAGAGTGCTCACGATACTACCTTGCAGGTTGAAATGACCATCGCATGAACGCTCTCATTCAACCACGACACTCCTTTATATTCTGTCATTGACTCTTCTTATTGGCATCCCATCACATCGGGATACCGTTTTCTGTTCAACACTACTAGCCATTACTTCTAATTGAATGGATCTATCTATATCCAGCCTCACACGTCCACCTTATACATTGCGAGTATCAGAGCGCAATCATCGTAGGTATCCTATTGACAGGTTCACCCAATTTTATTACCGTTTGTTACTTCGAATATTTCCTTGTCCCGATACGTCACATTAGACCGAATAAAAGCTTTTTTTTTTTCTTCACGATCACTAACAGTATGTTGAAAGTCGTGCGCACAGTCCCGCAGTCACGTATTGAAAATGACCGTGGTTAAGAAATCGTCTAACTACGGCATGCCTCCTACACTTCCAGTTGTAACTTTGCCGCTGTCGTCTAGACCGGGTCCTCCTGCAAAGGGCATTGCAGAGAACCATTCTGATTGTAACGATTTAATTGAGAATAGAGAGCCAGCAACCGCTACCACTACTATGATGTACAAAAGGTCAGTAGAGTCCTTAGTTGACTCATTTCCCACCTAAGAGTTCCAAAATACTCAAGCAGTCTGCAGTGCGAATTCTGAAGACGACAGCGATCCATCTATCCAGAATGCCGAGACGCCCTTAATACAAGGTCCCGAGGTAGTGGAGATGTCGACGAATCGACTCTCTGCTCAGGTTGCGCCGTTAAAACTAGCCCCAAAATCATGCTTGGTGGCGTCGTCAGAACAAACTAGCCCTGAAAATGTAATAAGTAATTTACCAGAGGATTTAGATGACAACACCATAAATACGCCGGATGTTCAGGAGTCATCTGGTTCTGTTATGAGTACACGTGACCCACCAGGGTTGCTAACAAGTACAATGGACGGTGACGAGTCTGCGAACATTGTTGACCAAGGTACGATTCCCAATTAACATTTCCTACTAATCTTCACTTTCATCAATCTGCACAATCTCGTTATTCGCGCCTTTTCCTCATAACACTTCACGATTCAAGATTAACGTCCTTTCGTATAAAATCAATCACTATAAGAAGCCCGTTAACTAATAGTAAAATGAAAGACAAAGTCACCAGCGCCGGCGACAGTGATGATGTGGAATCGCTTCCCGATCCACAACTAGCCGCCAACAACAAGCCTGTTGCCGATAAAGATGCACAAGGCCCGAGATTCAAGAGCAAGCTACCCTTGGCCGTGCGACTTCACAAGGATCCCCCATATCCGCCTCCGTCATTCCCACTGCCAACGCCTCCCGGGGAGCCGAGACCTCTTCAACCACGAGGGCGTGCTCCATCCTTGGGGGCAAAGGCATACCCGTTAAGCCCGTTCCCACGGGAGCACCATCTTCCTAAGGCACCCGCAAATAAATCCCTCCTAGCCCATCTTACTCAGCAACCAACACCGGATTCATCACCCACTGAGAAACACTTACACGAAGAAACAATTGCGCAGAAGGCAAATGCGGAAACAGATCAATCCTCATTTCCTACTTTTGGCAGCTCATCATTGGAATCATCATCACGGTATAGCAACTCTGTCGAACTTGTAGACCCCAATAAGTCAATTCAGACCTCGGAAGCCGGTCCTAAAGTTCCAACTGTTGTCGTTTCGAACCCCGCAGCCACCGAAAGCCAAGCAGATCTTGTTGAAGCATCCGAAATGCCTACTGACACCGGTTCCCCCATTTTTTACGGTAATTTCACTACACTAAAATATTGTCTCGAGGCAAACTAATTATATTTCAGGTCGCCGAAGAGGAAGAAACGCACCTCCGCCAAAGAACACAGCTACGCAAGGCCATCCTGGTACGTAGCGCTCTACCACCTATTTCCCCTCTTCATTCCAGACTAATAACTCATTAAATCTCCAGACACCCTGCAACAAACTGGTGCTGGTGCTACGGACAGCCACGGTGCTTCTGGAGATGGTCAGACAACCCCATTCACTCTGCCACCAATATCGCGCCTAACTCCTTTCACAGCTTCAAAGCCCCCACGAAAAGTAGTTGATGCTACCGCAGAGCTTCGAAAGCTAGCCGGCGACCCATCACCCCCCAATAATGGACGTCCCCAAACACGTCCTCAAGGAGGGCAGCAGATTCACAGAAGCTACCATGTAGCCGGTAATCCCCTCGAGCCTCATGTTGAATTATACGAGGACACTGTGATCCGCCACCCTCAAGTTCCAGCACCTAGCCGAGGAACCGACCGTATTCACCCTTCCTCTGTCGTTGCTGCTAGCACCCCTAGCAAGCTCTTGACTCACGACTTCATACGAGGCATGATCCACACCGAGTTGACCCAGTTCCAGCATGACTTGCGCACGAGCAGTATTACTCGACCTGGCGCTTTGGCGATGTTATCACGAGCTGTAGAGACATCTTCGGTACTGAATCAGGCAGGGATGCAAACGTTCATCCGACACCAGGCAGCTATGTACGCACCGGACATCTCAGCGTCCTAGGATGACGCCGAGATCCAGGCGCAGAACGCTGCTGCTGAAGGACGAATTTTCGTTGCCGTTGTTGATGCTATCACACGAGAGGATCGACTCGACCAGTTTGGAGGTAGTCTGGGCGAAGATCCATTCTACGACACTGGTAGTAACGAGGGGCTTAACCATATGTCTGGTCCTCCTGATCATGGATTTAGTTTCGGACAAAGTCATGGATACACGGCTGGTTTCCCGTACACAGGCACTTTCTCACTGAACCAGCATCACCATCATGCGCCGATTCCGGTCTTACCTCCCAACTATCCGTACCCAGTCTTGCAACAACCACCGGCATTCCCCTCGTATCTAGTCCCACCGCCCACCCCGGCCTCGAGCGCACCTTCTCATGCGCACCCGCAAGCTCAGCAACCTGCTCTACAACACCAACCTACCCAGCAGACCACGACTTCCCAGCTCGCACCAGCCTCTAGAGCGACAACGCACCCCGCGGCACCTCTCTGGGCGCCTAGCAGCGAGAACCAAGTGGTCGTACGCCCCGCTCCGGGCCCCTTCCTGTACGCGGGCACGGACCCCGAGGAGATGAAGCGCAAGGACGAAGAAAAGCGCCAGAAGCGACGCGAGCGAGAGCGCGACCGCGCGCAGAAAAAGGAGGAAAAGAACAAGCAGAAGGCGAACGAGGAGGCGCTCAAGGAGCTGCGCAAGAGCCAGAGCCGCGACTCGAGCTCGCTGCACGGAAGCACGGGTGGCGCGTGGGGAAGCGGTGGCAGCGAAGGCGGGGGAAGCGCGGCCGGGAGCGCGAGCCTGAAGCCGAAGGCTAGCTTTGGCGGGTCGTTGCGCCGCGCGTTTAACGCGTTCAAGAAGCCCGGACTGAATGCGCCGGGGCCCGCGCCGGTTGAGGAGGAGGAGGATTGTGTGAGGGAGAGCGGGGAGCGAGGTCGGAGTCTTGAGGGTGGGCTGGGTCATCCTGGATATGGACGCGGACATGGCCATCCCGGTCACGGTCATGGTCATGGTCAATCTCACCCTGGTCCAAGTTCTAGCCACGGTCATGGACACGGCTTCGGTCACGCCCATGATCGGATCCAGGATGATCATCCTCGCGAGCAGTAGGCTAGCTTCCGAAGTTGAGTTATGCTCCTTCGACAAGCCTAGTCTAATGGGCACTTATCGTTTGCATTGCTTTCAGGATCTGCTTTTTTTCGTCACTCAGAAAAGGGAATATGATGGGTTTCTACGGGAAGGATAGGGTGAATTTCTGCTTTTAATCATGCCAGAGGCGGAGGGCAAGCATGATTCTGCCCATGGATTTATGATCGCCGGCGATGGTTTTTCTCATTCTACATACAGCTCGTAGGGACAAGTGTAATACGAGCTCGATAGTTAATTCATAGCTTCATAATTGAGGATCTCGATGAGCTATACATGGCTTTGCACTACATTCTTATCGAAGTGAATCGGTGGACTTGACAACCATGTAAGGTTACAAGTCATTAAAGCAGCAGGGCGGCAATATAAGCCTACGTGATTGTTTAATACTCATAGGCTCATATTGGGCAGCTACCGACTCTCGGCATTCGGCTAGTGCTATAGCTGACCCCTGAAATATCACAGGTAGATCATCAAAGACAGTTACACGAAAACCCCACGACCCATAGCTCTGGTACGTCACTGCTGCCTTACATGTAGGTACGCAAGGGGTATTTACACTATATATATTTAGGTTGTCTCTTTATTGGTCGTCTCCTGTGCCATAGTAACACGGACCCGAGCGGTAGGGCGTTGATATCAAGCTCGTAACCGTGTATCACTTCGGTATTGAGCTTTCAGGGTTCGTTCGGCCTCTGACCGTCCTTGTCACGTCGGTTACACGAGACTTAATATCACCCGGCGGGATCGATAGGATCGATACCTACCTACTTAGTTAGGCACAGATAGGGAGATTTTTGTTTGCGAGGCTCCTTATCCTGGTCCCTGCGCTGGTCCAGTGCCAAGTTCGGTTTGATAGACTTGTGGCGCAGCTTTATATTTCAGCAGACAAGCAGATCCTTGACTATGAACTCGAGGAGACGGTGATGCCTCCGATAGGATATTGCTGGCTTTTAATACAAGTTGATGAAGGTGATGACGGTGACATATCCACCACATATAGTGCTGGGGTATTGTAGAGTGTTGAATCATGGGCTGAACCACCTGTATTAAAATGTAATAGGGTCTACACACCTAGGCTTTAGGCTTTGAGGACTAGATCCTAAAGGCTGTAGCTTGAGCAGCAGAATAAACTTGGCCAGACCGTGTGTAAGCTATGAAAAGTAGTCGGATGTAAACGACTGTGTAATTTATCAAGACATTGTGTATTGGAGTAGTAGTGAGGTGCAAGGTACTAGCAGGAACCATTCAACGCCAAGTGTCAAACAAGCGGCCGTGTCGACCACCCTATAATTTATACCGCCATGTATCCTAGTAGCCTATTCTAATAATTCCCTTATGCCCAGCAAGAAGACGCAAAGATCCTCAAATCCATCTTCTTTGACATTAACCAAGGGCTATTTCTTGTCTACATCACGAGGCAGAGCTAACAGGTGAAAAAAAAATAATGACGTTGTTGCGCGAGGAACTCTAAGCTACTCTCGCCTAAGGAACACTTTATACATACAGGAAATGCCATCTGTGTACTTTCCTCCCGGGGCAGTAGTTTACAAGGTTGGTTGTGACCCCGGTTTTAATTCCTACTTTCCCCCAAGCTGTTCTCCCTCGAAGGACCCTGCTGTCCTACCCATCTTAATCAGGGCAGAACCTTCCCTCTCCGTATTTTCAAGGCCTCGAAGGCACTTCAAAGCGCCCACCATCCCGGCGCATCGGGCTGACCGCGCGAGGGGCGGCGTATGATAATGGCAATGAGCTTTTGTACGCCCAAGGGATGTATATAGTTCACACAGTGAACACCTGAAGAACCTCCTCGCCCGCGAGGAGGTAGAGCCAGAGTGTAGAGGATGTATTAAGTGAGCCGACACGGTCGGCAGGCCGTTCCCCACCAGATCTGTGATGAGCAGGGACGTGAGCGCAGAAGACTATCTGCCCCTTCTGCGGGCCAAGGCTGTTTGTTATAAACAACCCGGGCTGCGGCCGTGTATTGGTTGGAGGCACCTCGCCAAGCGTAGTGCTCGACGTCGGCCCATCCGTCTGTTTCGACAGGTGGGCCTAGCCTGTGGCCGAGCCTGCGGCCACAGGCTGAGCGCCCAGGGGCCGTACGCAGGACCACGCCGGACCAGCCGAGCGAGAATACTGCTTGCGGCTGGCGGAGAGGCCAGCCATCAACTCCTTGTCAACCGTGGCCCTGATCGTCGCCCGCGACGATTTGGAAGAGGCCCGTCATTCCGCGGACGGACCCGATCCGAGGTTCCCGAGCTGGGAATTCTTATCCTGCGACGCGGCAAGAGGCCGGTCTGGCCTGAGGCTGCGGCCCAGGAGGAGCGATGGTGGGAATCGCAATCCTGTAGTGTTTCAGTGTTAGCTGAGTACTGACGATGAGATAAACGACGTGAAGGACTTACCTGGCCTGGGCCGCAGCAGCACGCTCACCACGAATGGTCTCTATACTGGTTCCGGAACGGTGGCGTTCCAGCAATGCCACATAGAGAGACATCTTGAAAGACGTCTCGTGTTAAGGCCCTGTTGTGGGTATTTTTTTTTTATTTTTTTATTTTATCGTTTAGGAATTTTTTTGACTGACGTGACTTGTTAGAAAGATGTGAGAGAAAGAAACAGTGGAGGATGCCGTGAAAGGATAAATAATTTGATGATGATGGGCGACGGAAAACTTACAGTAAATAGGGCGGTACGTGCCGAGCGCTGATCGTCAGCCAGTGTCGCGGTTAGGGGAAGTGCTCACCACCAGTGCTTCTGGTGTGTTTCTTCCCTTTCGTTGGCGGCACTATTGTAATTGTTAGTTAATCACTGAGGTCGAAATATGTAAAGTGAAGAATTACCTGCGTGCGCTGCATCACACCGCAGCGTCTTGGATGAGAAGCGCTGCCGACCTCATCTTGAGTCACTGGAGTCCTGGCACCGCCAGCGGTGCTGGGAGCTCGCCCAGGAAGTTCGCTTATAAATAGCGGCTACGATGGCCGCTTCCGCGATTTTAATGATAACGGCCTCTGTGACCGCATCTTTCGCGGTTATTTAATGAAGGTAAGATAAGGTGTGTTTTATGTTAGGTTAGGTAGGTAAGTAGGTTAGGTAATTAGGTTAGATAGGTAGGTACCTAGGTAGGTTAGGTACCTACCTACCCATAATGAATGTTTTGTGTGTAGGTAGGTGATGTTGATTGTTCTGGTGTGGTAGAATTTATAGAAAAGGTTGCAAGACGAAAGAGGGATAACAATGGTCGGAGACGAGACACTGGCAGAAAATAACACGGCGGTGAGATACTTAATTAGTCATATAATCACTGTTGCCGCTGTAGCTTAGTTAGAACTGACACTTGGAGGTCCTTGATCCTAATGCTTACGACGGCCGTGCGTTATCGTTGACAGGTGCCGTCCAGTCTGCGTACTTGGCTGTAGCAGCTACAATCTACGAAACCATTATATCTATGACTGAGAATGGAATAGCTCTTTTATCATCATAGTGCGACTTGTTTCGGGAAGGCACTCCAGGTGTCCCATGCGTCAAAGAAACGCACCGACGCCCCCAGCCTAACGTATGTATTTACGTTAGGTAGAGGACGTCCCTCGGACATAAACAATCCCATCATCATCAACAGTGTTAGTTGTATCCTAAATCAACATTTGAAACTACATACACACGGATTGTGGATGTACGCACATAGGTGCTTATCTTTTAAGAACAAGTCGCCTATGTGAACCTTAACTTAGGAGCAACTATTCTGAGTGATTCTTAGTAAGATTTGTCATTTCATAATTTCTCCCTTTGCAATTTCCCTAAACAAGAGCTAATTAAGACGACGAAGGCTGAATATGATTCGAAGATGTATTCACCAGTCATATTGAGTCCCACAAGAACAGGGGTTCAAGTCTTTCAGGTACTACGAGAACAATATATCACATGGAACATCCAGTATAGAAATCACAATTTCGCGGATAAGCCCCCTTAGAACTGTTGATTCCAGAACTCGAAAGATGGGTTCATCCTTATCACATGTAGTCGATCCCATTTTGCTCGGGCAGTTTCACAAAGAAAAGGTGTTCAAAGACATAATATATTGGCGGTATGGAATCCTTGAGCTGGCATAAACAGATATTTGTGACTATGTAAGTTCGAGATTGGGAATAGGGGCATGTCACGTTCTATAATTACATAAGCAAGATCTTAGTGATTACCAAAGGAGGATGCTTCAGGGCTGCAGGTGCCCAGATGGCGACCGGAACGATCACTGGCGTTATCTTAGTGGGGGTTGGCGTAAGCTTAATGGGGCCAGGGTGCCCTGTAAACCGCGTTTAGACCTTCTTTAATTGGCTAAAATGAATCGATGGAACGCCGTGGGGTTATTTGGAGATTTGGAGATGCGACGGTCCCAATGATGTAACACCAACCTCTCCTGCTCTCTCTCCATCATCTCTATCTCTCACTCCTTCTTCCATGTCTTTCATGTGCCATTGATAAACATGAAAGAAATGGAGTATAGGAAAGGCGAGCTCCCGCCCTACAGTGCCGTAGCAGCACCGGAGCGGCGCAGGCGCTGGCCCGTCCGACGTACTCGGGGACTCAAATTCGTGGCCCTAGCATGTCTTGCTTTCATTGTTTATGCGCAATGGAGACAGATAGACTCCTTTCCGAGACATAGGCCGATATCCAAACTGTCGGTCGAGAAACTGGCGGAGGACTTGCGGGTGTGCTCTAAATTGCGTTCGAAGCCGCAAGACCCTATCGGCTTGGGCCGAGAGCGTAATGCGCGATACGTCGATGGGCACAAACCTACCTTAATCAAGAATGCGAGCATTTGGGTTGGTGAGCCTGCTGCTGGAACGAGTTCCGAGGATGCGCGCGCTGGGAAGGGCTTCGAGTGGATTGAAGCTGATGTTCTGTTGGAATATGGCCTCATTAAAGAAGTGAGAAAGGGCATTGACGCTAGCTTGTTTTCATCCGACACTGTCGTGTGGGATGCTAAAGGCCGCCGGCTTACTAGTGGTATCATCGATATGCATAGTCACGCTGGCGTAGATAGCTTACCCGGGTTAAATGGCAACGATGACACAAATGAGATGGGTTCGAATATAACCCCGTACGTGCGATCTATCGATGGAATAAACGTTTTCGATCACCAGATCCAGGTCATCAAAAGTGGAGGAGTTACGACGAGCTTGATTTTGCCGGGTTCTAGTAACAACATTGGAGGCGAAGCTTTTGTTATCAAACACGCTGTTGGCGAACCAGATGGCCGCAACGAAACATCGATAGCCGACTTGCTAGCTGACCCGGATCGTAATTGGCGATACATTAAGATGGCCTGCGGCGAGAATTCTAAGCGCACTTACGGAAAAGCTGGAGAACATGGACCTACAAGTCGATTAGGCGAGTCCTGGGAATTTAGGCACGCCTTCGAACAGGCCGCCAAGTTGGTTCAAGATCAGAATGATTGGTGTACCTTGGCTGAGTCTGTAGGCGTTGAACGGATGAACACCTACCTGCCACAAGACTTAGAATGGGAGACGCTAGGTGCTGTACTACGTGGTCAGGTCCATGTCAACACACACTGTTACACGGTTCCTGATTTGGAAGCATTCGTGGATCACACAAACGAGTTCAAGTTTCCGATTCGGGCCTTCCACCACGCGCATCAGACATTTCTCGTACCCGAAGTTTTGAAGCGAGCGTGGGGCGACTCCCCGCCCGCTTCGGCTCTGTTCGCCGACAATATGTGGTACAAGGCCGAAGCTTACATCGGATCCGAGTATGCTGGTAAAGTGCTATATGAAAATGGCTTGACTCCCATATACGTGAGTGATAATCCGGTATTGAATGCTCAGCATGTAGTCTTCGAGGCTGCCAAGTCATTCGGATATGGTTTACCGTATCATGCTGCTTTGGCTGCTGTTACGACGGCACCGGCTGAGCGATTGGGATTGGGACAGCGGATAGGCAAAGTTAAGCCTGGATTCGATGCCGATATCGTCGTATGGGATAGTGACCCGTTGAGTGTTGGCGCGACACCGGTCCAGGTCTGGATTGATGGAACCGCGCAGTTCGATGACCCTGTTGAGTTGAGAAAGCCATTCTCCTCTGCTCCAAGCTCTCTTCCGGAAGTCCCTGCCGCTCCGGACGAAATTGTTTCTACGAGCGACGTAATATTTACTGGAGTTTCGAAGTCCTTTTTATCACCTATGTTTCAATCAGGCGCCCATAGTCAAAATTCGACCGTTGCAATTTCAGGTGGTAAAATCACATGCGTAGGAGTTTGTGAAGAGGAACTCGAAATCGCCTCCAAGTCAGGCACCAAGGTCATTTCTCTCCAGAACGGTTACTTGACCAGGCCGTTCACGATATTCGGCTCTCTTCTTGGCCTCAACGGAATCGATGCAGAGAAAGATACCGACAATGGTGGCAGTCCCAGTGTTTTCAGTCGGGGTGTTGACGGGCTCGCACTCGGCACCAAGAAACTTCACTACGCGCAGAAATACGGTGTCACACGAGCAATCTCCGCACCGAAGTATTCGGGACAAGGAACACACCAGGGAACTAGCGTCGGATTCCGCACGGCTGCGAAGCACGCTCTTGATCACGGCGCCATATTCGCCGATGATGTGGCCGTGCATTACACCCTGGACCTCAGCGCAAAGCGAGGCAGTACTTCGATTTCCAACGCCGTCAACGAACTGCGCCACAAGCTCCTCGAGGCCGTTGCCGCGGATGCTAACGCTTCCACCACAGACCCTTACACCGAAACCGCGTTCCTAGCCAAGGTCATCGATGGCGAACTTCCGCTGGCCATTAGCGTTCATAGCGCCGACGCCATCGCTGCTATCCTGAAAGTTAAGCAAGTCGTCGACAAGGCCATTACCTCATCACGAGCTACCGGTAGCGGTAACATCAGATTAGTCCTCATCGGCGGCGCGGAATCCTTCCTACTAGCGGACGAGCTGGCCGCCGCAGACGTTGGCGTTGTGCTCAGCCCTCTGCTCTCCTACCGCAACGGGTGGGACCAGCGAAGGGCGCTGACGGGCGCGCCGCTCACGAACGGGACTGCCGTCGACGCTCTTGTCGCCGCTGGCGTTCGCGTGGCTGTGGGTATTGAGGAGGATTGGCTCGTGCGTGATGTTGGGTTACTAGCGGGTATCGCGTATAAGAATAGTCAGGGGAAGTTGAGCGAGAAGGAAGCGCTGGATTTGGTTTCGGATAATGTGTATGCAATTTTAGGATTGAAGCAGAGTGGAAGTGGAAGAGAGAGGGAGGATGAGAGGGAGTTCGTCGTCTTTGAGGGGAGCCCGCTGGAGATTGGGGCTAGGGTAAGGGCTGTTGGGGGTGGTGTTGGTGAGGAGGTTATGGTGTTTTTGTAGGTGTTTATTATGGTATTATATTTACTATATTACATACACAATCCTATGTTTTTGATCTTGAAGACTTGTTATTCCAGTAGCCATTATGGTACTTAGGTATGATTATGTGATATTGTGAATACGAATAGGGGCGTTGTGTTACTGGAAGATGTGCTTTTGGATGTGAAATGATGGGGTGCTTTTTGGTGATGATTAATAAATATAGGTATATATGTAGCGTCTTCTGCGTAATACCTTCTTGCTTTAACTTACCATGTTAATGATTGTGCTTGACAACATATTAACGTCTCATTTTGAATAGGAATTCACGATTAGCGTGATGGAAAATCACAAGTTGATCATCGTAATTGCCTATCAGCTTCAGCATTGAAGGTTTAGCTAAGACCCCGCACCTTTACCACGTGCACGGGCCAATCAGCGATGAAGATCTGATGCTTGGCCCTTCGCGTTTTCCGCCTAACAATTTCTTTTTCTATTCTATGGGCCAGACGCGACGTAGCCTAGATATCGTCAACTCGACGCGCATTCATTTTAACAACCTGTGTGCGACATATACCTATCCACTTCACTCACGACAATCGATAATCGCAAATACATACGAAACCATACCTTCTTATCGCCTCTAAATTTTGCATAGGCTACTCTTTAGTAGAAGTCTATCAATTCTATATTAAGGTTATCACGGCGCTTTTCACATAATCGCACAACATCGTCTTTGTCCCTTCCCTCTTCGAGCCTCCCCCTTCATTCCTCCTTTATTAATCCCCTCGCTCCTTCCACTGCACTTCTCTCTTTCTCTAAGAATAGTGGATCGCCTTCCCATTTCGGCGACTCTCAGCTTCCTCGTCGCGGGTTGCGACCCACTTCTCGCTCACACATATGGCCTGATATGTAGGGACATGACGATGCACTAGTCATGGGAAATCAAAACAGTAAGGAAGTGAAGGCTGAGTCGGATGGTGAGGAAGGAACCTTTGGATCTTCACCTTTTGGGTCTCGCAACCCGTCGCCTTCGCCTCGTCCATCCCCCGACATTGTCTTTTCCAGTCAAGTTCATTCGTCTACACCGAAGAACCGTCATTTTCCATCCAAGTCTACGATAAAATCCGATCAATATTTGACGACTCATCGACGCCGCGTATCCGCACTCAACAGCGACAGCCCTCACACATCTCCCTCAATATCTGATATCAAACGCGAGAAACCTGAATCACCCGAAGAGAAGAAACACGTCTCAACACCAACTTATAGACCTGGATTTAAAACCGAGAGGAAATCTAGCGATTCGCCCAACCCGCCGTTGCCAACGCATACCCCTTCAGATATTAAGGCAATACAGAATACAGAAGACGATATGGACGATTTTCCTTCATTTGGCGAACCACCATCGTCCAAGTCGCGTCGTCGTAGACGCAAGCGAAAGGAGAGACACCGAAAACAAGTACAACAACTCGCCTCTCCCAATCTAGGCAACGACCAAGAAGATCCAAATTCGTCTTTATATTCTAACAACGGTGCAACCGTCGACCCTACTCCTTCTAAGAATCGACCGTCTAAGAGGCGCAAGACTGCGACACCGGGTAGTCAATCCAGAAAGAAGAAGCAAAAGTACAGTCATGATGAGGATAACTTGGCAGACAATGCGATTCCATTCAGCAGCCTTGCCGAAAGCCTCTATGCCAATCATCGCAAGAATGGAAACTTAGAGACAAGTGAAAATGGTCTCCAAGATAATAATAATAATGATGCCGAGGAGCAGCAGTCGAACGAATCCGATCAGGAATCTTCCATATCTCACCAGTCGGCTTCTGACTCAAATACGAATAACGTTGATCTCGACTCAGCATCTATCGCACATTCGGATGCAGTTCCTAGCGACGACATAAAAGCAGATCCTTCTAAAGATGACGCCACGTCCCATAGCGGAAGCCAGCCTAACAGCTCTGGAAACCTTTCTGGAGACAACGATTCTTCATCAGAAGTTGCTCGGTCAGATGATCAAGATAAGATGGATATCGATGGAGAAGGCCCGAGTAAGGATGAATCCGAAGATAGTGATGAAGATAATGAGAAAGTCAGCGATGGTGAAGAGAATGAGAGTCATTCCATTCATGCTGACCCTAATTCCAAATCCACGTCAGTAGGTGCAGATGCTATTAATGATAGCGAGTATCATCTAGATAATGAGGAGGAGTTACCGGATAATCCCCAAACCGTCGATTCTCGACCTAAGCAAAATTCGGCACGAAAGCGTGTCGTCAAACCCACATTCTACGAACGCCTAGCAGAAGGAAGTTCCAATGGTACCACGGCCCATGGTTCATCTTCTCCCGTTGCCGGCCCCTCAACCTCAAGATCGACAGGAAGGAAGCAGGCCAAAATTTCAACCATGCTCAAAGGCAATGCCGAAGACAGTCCAGGACCAAAGACGCCCTCACAAAAGCGAAGCGCCCCCTTCAAAACACCCAAATCCGGACCTCACGAATTAGTCACCGGTCCGTTTAGCGACTTTGAACTTCGCAATCTCACTCAGGCGGTTGAACGCTGGAGAGATGACCACAATCTAACTCAAACCCAGGTCAATTCGCTCATTCAAGGCAACCCCAAGGAGGTTCGCTCTCAAGAGTTCTGGGCTCGTATCGTGGCCGTATGTCCGAACCGTCCTCGCCAGAAGGTAATAAATCAATGTCGCCGCAAATTTCACAACTTTGTAGCCCGGGGAACTTGGACAGAAGAGCAACAAGAAGAATTAAAGAGGGTATGGGAGGAACATGGCAACAAATACGCTCTGATTGGCAAAATAATCAATCGACATCCCGAAGACGTGAGGGACCGTATACGCAACTATGCTGTGTGCGGCAAAAATCGTCGCTCAGATCCGTGGAGTGTGGATGAAGAAGAGAAGCTCCAAGCCATCATTGCCGATGCTCTTCGGGTGATTCGTGAACACAGAAGAGAAGGGAGAATCAAAGTGCAGGAAGCAGATGAAGAGCTGATAGATTGGCAAAGAGTCAGTGAACTGATGGACCGGACCCGCAGTCGTCTCCAATGCATACAGAAGTGGAAAATCATGAATCGACGAGGAGCCGAGCGCGGCAGTATAGACGGTGGCGAGGTTATGTCCCTGGAAGAAATTATCCAGAAGGCCCGGAACGAGGCGAACGCGATGTCAAGCCGCGAACGATTCAACATCGTCAATGCTGTTGACGCTTCTGATGCAAAAGCGGATAGCCGAATTCCTTGGGCTAAGGTCAGATCAGCTTACTTGGACGACCGGTGGACACGTCCTACTATCATGCTGGCCTGGTATCGCTTACGACATTCTATTCCTGATTGGAGTATCATGACTGTTCCGGAGATCGTCACGCAGCTGAGTAAGACCTATCAGGAGACGCGTAAACTCGAATACCCCAGTGGCATCGACTACGACGTCGATACAGAATATGCCGATATGGAGCGCAAGGTTCAGAAGATGTTGAAGGTTCACCGTACCCCAAAGACTCCAAACATCGTTGTTAAGACCGACGATGATGACAGCGGGGATGAGGGAAGTAGTGAGGAAGATGAGGCGACCGAAGGGAAGTTAGAGGATAACCAGAGTGACGAAGATGAAGACGATGATGAAGCCAGTCAAGAGAACAGCGGTACCAGCAAGGACAATAAACGCCAGGAGGAGGGCAGCGAAATTGACGAGGCTTCTAATGATGAGTCTAAGGATGAAGACATTCCCATGAAAGACGAAACGGATGGAAATTCAAGTGCCAGTGTTGATCTTGGCAACAATGCGGAGGAAAGCGTGGATCGCGAATCCTCTGCTGAAGCACCTTCCATCACCAAGGTCACTCCACGAAAAATCCGACGAAGTCAAAAACGCTATAGCTCATCAGCCAGAAGTGCAAGATTCCAGAAGAAAGCCAAGCCAACTCGGGAGATTATCGAGGAGTCTAGCCAAGAGGAGCAAGCTCCGAACGAGGACGAAGAGCTTAGCAGCGACACGAACGCAAGCTCAGTGGAAAGCATCCCATTCCACTTATAAATGTATAAATTCCGTGCTTCTGTCATTCAGGCCGTTCTTCGATGAGTGCCTTTTGTTTCGATATACTCGTGACGTTAAGTACGTTTGAGGACCTGCCATGTCCTTTGGCCCTTCCTTAATCGGTGGCACGTGTTGAATTGCAATTATTGAGCCTTGACATAAGATGTACCTTGTCAGTTATCCTATACCTTGTGTTTGCAATTTGGCATGCTAGTCCAAAAACTACTCGGCGTAGGCAAACCAAATTTTCAAGTTTACTACTACTGTCGAATCCCTCTGCTTTTTGACAAGTTACTTAGGGCACGAAGCTAGTCGGCTTTAATCACATGCCTATTTCAACTACTAGGTCGAACAGGTTCAATGAGATCCAAACTCTTCGGTGGAATAAATGAATAATCGACGACAAATGAGCATACACGACGGAAGGATACGATGATACCCCTTGTTTTTTTCTTAAACATTGCTGATGGCCGATTCATTCAATCGAAGAGCTGAATTATTGGTACATTTGCTGAAGGTATTACAGTGAGAATCCTGATCCTTTTAAGGCCGCGGGCAATTTGAAGATTTTAAATCCCCCCTTCTGTTTCAAACTACTCGTGATTCTGTGCAGGCTCCAACCACGACGACTTGTACCCTACTTCCCGCTTATGCTTCATAATCAAGACGTTGACAATGCTGCGGATCAATAGACCTACCGACTAGACCTTGGCACGGCAAGGATGTAGTAGTATCACCTCCATTCATGCCTCGGTAAGGCGTAGTTAAGTAGGTCAATCATACCACCATTTACCAAAAAGAATAACGACCTGGGACCGTTTTTACATAATATCTCGAGTCTTCATCATAGCACAATGCAGCAACACAACGCCGATCAAAGAGTTCTTAAAGCTATTAGTAATGATACTAGTGCCTAGCCCATATCTCCGTGTAAGGACTAAAAGGCTTCTAGCTTATAAATCGCCTCGGATTCTTCGAGAGCTGTCCTTTGGAATGTAACCCCACCGCTTAAAGCTTTCACCCTAGCTTTGAGAAACGTCATATATAATACTATCTAGGCCGAACCTGAAAACTTCCTTACTGGCCCTATCCTTTCTACATATCAACCATTCTAGTCACTTGGGCACAATGGCTCGTAAGAATTTGACGTTTCACCTTGCCGAACGCCCCAAGGGCAACATTGTACCAGGGAAAACCTTCAATCTCGTGGAGACTGATGCCCCTACGGCCGACGACCTGAAAGATGGCCAACTTCTCGTCGAAAACATCTACTTGTCCTTGGATCCGGCCATGCGCACATGGCTGTACGGTAAGTTACCTCCTATCCCATACCCCCCCCCCCCCCCCCCGGCATTCGGATTTGGCCTTAAACCCGCATGCGTTGCAATATCACGGGCGCTAACCCGTTCGGTAGACATCCGATCGTACACCCCGCCAGTCGCCATTGGCGAAAAAATGCGCGGCGGCGCCATTGCCAGGGTCCTCGCGAGCAAGAGCTCCAAGGCTAAGGAGGGCGAATTCGTCTTCGCCCGCAGCGGGTGGACCGAAGTCGCCGTCGTGGGAGAGGCCGAGTTCGATACCATCGATCTGCCCAAGGGCACCCAGCTCACGCACGCCATAGGCGCTGCTGGTGAGTCGCTCCGGATTATACTCCACCTTTTTGCCCCTATTACCCCTGAATACTATGATGCGTCCCCTCCTTCCCGCCCCCACCAAACTAGCAGACAGACACCAACATACATATGACGAAATGCTTTTGCTGATATGTCGGCAGGCATGACCGGTCTTACGGCCTACTTCGGCCTCACGGAGATCGGGAAGCCCAAGGCCGGAGAGACGGTCGTAGTGTCGGGCGCCGCGGGCGCGACGGGATCCGTCGTCGGCCAAATCGCCAAGATTAACGGCGCACGCGTCGTCGGGCTCGCGGGCTCGGACGAGAAGTGCAAGGTGCTGACCGAGGAGCTCGGGTTCGACGTCGCGCTCAATTACAAGGCGCCGACTTTCGCGGAGGATTTCGTCAAGGCGACGCCGGATTATATCGATGTTTATTGGGATAATGTTGGTGGTGATAGTATGCTTACACATTTTCCCTCTTGCTCCATATGGCCCCCCCCCCCCCCCGGGGGGGGGGGTTTTTTTTTTTTTTTTTTTTTTTTGGTGTTATAGAAAGAGAAGGAGTGAGAAGAAAGAAAAAAGAAAAAGAGACA